CCCTAATATGAACTTTTTATTTCATTTCCTATTGAGTTAAGATAAAATTTGAGTAAAAGTGAAATTGGAGTGAAAGTGGAATGAAAGTGGAGTAAAAATAAATTTTCAGTGAAAGTGGAGCGAGAATAAATTTTTAGTAAAAATAAAAGTGAAGTGAAAATAAATTTTGTGTTAAACTGAAAGGTGAATAAAATTTAATTCAATATGAAAGTGGAGTGAAAATAAAATTACAGTGAAAGTGATAGTGGAGTGAAAATAAAAATTAAGTGAAAGTAAAATGAAGTGGAGTGAAAATAAATTTTGAGTGAAAATGAAGTAAAAATGGAAATAAAGTAAAATTTACTTGAAAATTAAAGTGGAATGAAAAAAAAATTTTAGGGAAAGTGAAGTGAAAATAAAATATAAGTGATAGAGAAAGGATGAGTACAAATAAAATTTAATGGAAAATGAAAGTAGAGTGGAAATGGAGTTAAGATAAAATTTGAGTAAAAGTGAAGTGAAAGTGGAGTGTAAATAAAATTTGATTAAAAGTGAAAGTGGAGTGAATGTGGAATGAAAATAAAATTTGAGTAAAATTTAAATCTAAGTGAAAGTGAAGTGAAAGTGGAGTGAAAATAAATTTTGAGTAAAAATGGAAGAAAAGTAAAATTTACGTGAATTTGAAAGTGAAGTGAAAATAAAATTTAAGTAAAAGTGAAGTGAAGCAGAGTGAAAATAAATTTTGAGTGAAAGTGGAGTAAAAGTGAAAGAAAAGTAAAATTTACGTGAAAATGAAAGTGAAGTAAAAATAAAATTTTAGTGAAAGTGAAAGTGGAGTAAAAATAAAATATGACTGAAAACGAAAGTTGAGTGAAAATAAAAATTGAGTAATAGGGAAAGTGGACTAAAAGTGAAGTAAAAGTGGTGTGAATGTGAAGTGAAAGTGGAATGAAAGTGGAGTGAAATTACATACAAGGTATCGATTTTGTAACTTCACTTCACTTTACTTTCACTGTATAAGTTTAAAAATTAATTATTAACTTAAGTTTACAAACGAAATTTATACCGGAAATTTTCTTTTCAACTGGTTCATGATTTTCATTTAATTGATCCAAAATACAAACAGAATGTTTTTCATCAGCTGCTATATAATTCTTATCTTCTATTTGTCGATTTTCTTCTCCTTTTCGTAGTTTAACTTTTTTAAAATAATTTACAATATTTTTTCGTTTATGCTTGATTGGTACCCTTTTCACTCGATGTTTTAGTACTTTTTTAATGTCTTTACTCTTTCTTTTTATAGTTTTTTCATTAATTTCGTCTTTGGCATTTTTAAAAATAAAATATTTATCATTCGATGGCAAAATTACTTTTGGTTTTGGTGTCTTTTCGCAGTTTTTGCGCCAGGTATTTAATTCTACTTGATACAGACGCAAATTTGGTGGTATGAATAATGTTTCTGAATAAGGACTATATTTCTTCTTGGGATAATCAACTTTTGGTGGTTTTGCTATATTGAAAAGTTAATAATAAAATTGTAATTGTTAATATTTGTTTAGAAATTAATATAATGGTTCGATTATGTCAATTTATTTCGATAATTTCAGTTTCATTTTCACTTTTAATTTCACAGAGATTTACACTTTAATAGACATTCATTTTCACTTTGACAAATATTCGTCTTCACATTTACTGTCACTTTCATTTTGACAGATTTTAATTTTAATTTTTACTTTCACATTGACTATCTATTGTTAATTTTTACTTTCAGTTTTTACTTTCACTTTCACTTCGGCAGATTTTTTTAAGTTTAAGTTTTATTTTGGAAGTGAACATGAAAATACTCGAAGTTAAAGTAAAAATTACAGTGAGAGTCGAAATAAATTTTCATAATCGAATCCCTGAAAGTTTTATTAATTTTTATAATTTACGTTTTGGAGGAATTCCCAATGATTTGACTGGAGGAAGTCTTTTATTTAATTCGATTATAGTTTCCGGAAGACTTAAAAAAGCAATTGCAGATAAAGTTAATCTTTCATTGCAATTGTAATTGTTTTCTAAATAGTGGAAAGTTAAATTAAATTTTAGAAATTATTCAAATAAATTTAAAGTTTTCAACGTATTTTATTATTTATTTTTTTTATTTATTTTTTTTATTTATTTTTTTATTTATTTTATTCTGTATTTTTTATTTTAATTTAGTCTCGTAATCAAGAAACTCGATAAATATCTAAGATATAAAATTTTGAAAATAAAATTTAAAAAATTTTCAAAGCATTACAATTATATTTAATTCTTATATATTGTTTTTAAAGTATAAAAAAATGAATAATTGGCTATTTTATTTAAGAAGCATAAATAAATAATTAAATAATAAGATTATACTTACTGTGACCTTCTATTTCGAAATCAGTACCTGATGCAATTTTATAGATTTCCCGCAAAAATTCTGCAGGATTTACGTTACTTTTTTCTTGTAAATATTTTATCTGTTTTGACAATAGCTTAAAAAAGGGGGAAGTTATTCCTATTTCCATTAGAATATTTCGCGTTCTGAATGTTTCTTGTTCCTTATAATCCTCAAGCAAGGCATTTTTTAATATCATCAAATAACCCATCTTTTCGTTAAAATGTAATTATTACATATTCATGCAGAAAATAGTTCAAAAATTTTTATTCTTTTCAGATACCTGTGAATTTGAAAAGTCCTGATACCAATGCGGATATTTTTTTAGTTTTACTTTCTTTTTTCTAGCTATGAAAGAAAAAGTTTGATAGTTACTTTGTTTAAATATTTTTTATTTGGATCTAAATTTAATTTATTTGATTCAAATAACTTGAATTATTTAAATCGCAATAAATTTCAACCTCCTCGAGGGTCAGACCATTTGTAATTTAGATAATAGACAAGTAAATGATTTAATTATGAATCAATTAAAGTTTATTTGATCCAAATAAATTTTTCTTTTCAGTGTAAAAAGTGTTTTTAATTAATTAAAATACCTTTCTTTCTACCAATTTCAATACTGTTTCGTCTGGCTTTTTTGAAAGATAAGAATTTTTTTAATCTTTCTCTTTCCAGAATTTGTTGAATATCATCTTCAATAAAATTCTCTGAAGTATCAGGTACAGACACTAAACTATCTGTATCTTTCGATTCTCTTTGATCTTTAACTAATTTTTGTTTAGCTTTAGTCCCCTTCTTGTTGGAAAATGTTATTACATCTTGAAAAAATTGCGTTCTTAATCTTAGTACTGGACATTCGTGAATTGCTCCTATAGCTGTTAAAGATGATTTAAATGGCGGATTTTTTTGGTCATATTTAAATAATGGATCAAAGTCACTTTTCCCACAACAAAAACCAATCTCTTTTTTACTCTTTACACTAACGGTTTTCTTTCTAAAAGAATTTAAATGTTTTATAAACAAAGAATAATAATTAATAATAAAATAATAATAAAGTAAGAATAACTACAAATAATGGAAGGAATTAATAGGTAAAATGATATAGAAGATATTTAAAACGTAAAAAAGTAGAAACTAAATAATACAAAATAAGTACCTTCAATATTAAAAAAAAAATGTAAAATCAGTTTAGAAAATGATTGTACAGTAAATTAAATACATTAAAATAATTCTTTTCAAATTATTACAGTTACTTACTTTTTTTGTCGAGATAAAGAACGAATTGATAATTTTGATCTTATGGAACTTTTAGACATAGTTACTAATAATTTTAATATCCAAAAATATTTAGACCATATTAAGAATAATTTCGATATTAGGGCCAAAATTCATAACATTTATTATTTTTTTATTGAAACATTTTGAGGTTTTTTTTTTAATTTGACATAGTAAATATTGATTTTTTTTAAGTTTTGAGGTTTGATTTCTGATTCTTGCTTGTTTATATAAAATAGAGTTTCTGTTTATTTTTTTTAAATAACAGGTAATAGAAAACTAAATTTGGGGTTTCTGATATTTTTAAAAATTATAGTCTTACTGCTTATGTGAAACTTGAACAACTTTCTAGCGTATTAATTATTATGTAAATTTTATTCCTATTGTATTTTTTATTATAAATGAAAGTTAAAATATCGTGGTTTTTATTTCAAAACCTATATAATTTTAGAGTTTATTAAAAATTATTACAAAATTATTTTAATTTTTTAAATAGATATTAACTTATATTAAGTTTATATAAAAATAACAAATTTAAAACTAAAAGTTAACCCCCCGACACACACATGAGAAAAAATTACAACTTTACACACGTTTAGAGGGAATCCCTCACCACATTTTAAAATAAGCAACATTAAAACATAAACAAAGGAATCAACAAAAATTTAGTTTTAACACAAACTTACAAATATGTAGTAAATTATTCTAAATTATAAAATTAATAAAATTAATTTTCGGTCTCAAAAATAAAAATCAATTACACGAATGCACATCTTCGAAGGAATTCCACTTGACATGTAAAAATAATGTAACATTAACAAATAAGCAAAAAAATCATTAAACAATTCATTTTAATTATATTTGTAATATAATTTTGTCATTAACCAACAGTAGAACAAAAAATGTTTTGAAAACTTGATTTTTTTATTTAACATAACCTCACTTTTTCGAGTTTTTCTGGCTTTGAAGCTTCATAATTAAATATTAATTATATGTTTAAACTAAATGTTTTTTTAGAAATGTGTTGAGGAGTAAATTGTCAAAAGGTATATATAGAAACTGATTTTATTTTGCAATGAGGAAAACAAAAGTTATTTAAAAAATACTGAAACCGTAGAGGGAATCCAGGGAATCCCTCCCTAGGTGTGTGACGGAGGGTATTTAATTTAATTAATTTAAATTCAGAATCTCCTGCAAATTGGAAAGCGGTCGGTAACCCTATAGACATTTCAGTCAGACGTCTACAGAGGGCAGAAGCATGCAGAGAGCGCAAAAATTCAACGATAAATATAAATTATCCAGTGCGACATTTTACTCGATAGCGAAAATTTTATGTACAACCAACGCTCAAATCACGCTGGGTGCACCAGTTCTCGTTTGATCACTGAAGTTAAGCAGCGTTGAGCGCGGTTAGTACTTGGATGGGTGACCGCTTGGGAATACCGCGTAGCGTTGGTTTCATTTTTTATTATTTTTTTTTAAATATTTATTCAAAAATTATTTATGAATCATAATTGTTTAAAAGTATTAAAATTTTAAATATTAAAAATAAAAATTTGACCATTTTTTATCAAATTGTTTTCCCCAATTTTGTAAAATACTTTTAATATTTATTCTCTCTCCGCGTGTATAACTAAACTTCTTCTATTTAAAATTAAATAATTCAAATTAAATTTTTAAAATTTAACGTTAAAAAAAATTTTTTTTAATTTATATTTATTTTGATAGCGAATTTTGAAAAATTTGAAAATACATCACGGACACCTGCCATTTCACACACGTGGACATGAGTAGGAATCCATTGAATGACGTCAACTGAAACTTTTCAAACTATATTACGGTAAAGAAATCGAATGACTATAGCATAAAGAACGCCAGTGCAACGTTGAATTGATGAGTGTGTAATAAAGTGTTGGGCGTTGTCGTTTATTCTTTTTTATACCTGCCTTTTCGGCGGTATTAAAAAACAATGGATTTTTTTATAAAAATGAAGTGCAATTGTTATTTTTTTAGTGCCTCTCTTCTTTGGATTTTTATAATTTATCTTCAAAATGTTCAAGCTGGTAAAATACTTACTCATGTCTAAATTCATTTCAAAACATTCGAAACCTGGTCTGTATTTGAAAGAAAAACATTTCATTTTTCCTTTGAAACTTTAACAAAAATACAAATAATAAATTAAAATAATAATTATTTTTCTAATATGCATTAGCTTTAAATTCTTCGTTGATTAATTTTTGATGATTTTTGATGAAATTTGAGTTTATTTCAAAAATTGTTTATCGCATGTAAAATGTATTGTATATTTAAATATATACTTAAAAAAATGTAAATTTCTCAAAAATATTTTTGTTTAAATATAAATTAAAGGATTAGTTTAGTAAAATTTATTAAATTTTATACTATATTTATGAAATATTGTGGAATAAATTAGAGAAAAGGTTTTTTGAAAATTTGTTATGGCTTTACTTAACAAGTGGGTGTGTGAGCTCCATACAGATGTACACAATTATTTACTAATGATTCATTGTTCAAAAATATAATACTAATTTCATCTTTTAAAATATTCATTATTTTCTATTTTGTACGATATTTTTTTCAGAAAGAAAATATTAATTTCTCCATAAATTCAATGTCACATATTAAACAAAATTTTTTAATTATAAATTTAACGTCTTTTGTAATTTTTTTAAAAAAAGAGATTTTATAAATAATAGTAAATTATTGATCTTTATTAATTGAAAGTATTTCAACGCAGTTTTTTAATTTAAAAATTGTTTAATGTTAATAATAAAATGTTCATAATTTGAATAAATGAAATGTTTTATCTTGAACATCTTCAGATTTCTTCAATTTTTAACACTATCACTATATTTTATCACTATTTTAACACTATATTCGGAACTACACCAAAAAAATTTCCCAAAAGAGTTAAATAATTAAAAAAAAAATTGTTTATAAAATTCTTCACAAACATTCAATTATTTTCATAATTAAAAAATTTCCACAGGCATTCAATTATTTAAAACAGAATTTTTCTAATATTTTTCGAAAAAAATCAATTATTTAAATAGATTTTTATAAGAATCTTCGCAAGAACATTGAATTATTTTAAAAAATGTTCAGAATAATCGTTGTAAGAATTCAAATATTTTTATAAATATTAAAACTCAACGCAGGATTTCAATTATTTTTAATACAATAATTTAAATGAATTCCGCTAAAAACGCAATTATATTTCTTAAGAATTTGAATAAAATTTTTCGAAAAAATTCAATTATTTAAAAAAATTTGATATAATTTATTTCTTAGAGTGGTAATAATTATTTTCAATTCATTTTTAAATACATTTCTTGAATGAATTTAATTATTATCAAAAATTTTAATGAAATTCTTCGTAAAAATTCAATTATTTTAGAAAATGTTGATATAAAGTTCTTCATAAGAATTCAAATATAAAAAATATTCGCAATTATTCAATAAATTTATTTTTGTATTTAAATAATTGCATTCTCGTAGAACTTTTTAATGAGAATTGATTTAGTATTGAATAAAATAAAATAATTGAAGTTTTGAATAATTTTACTTATAAATTTCAACAAAAAAATAATTGAATTTTGAAAGAATTACTTTTGTAATTTCTAGAAATAGTTGCGTTACATTGAAATCATTTGAAATATTTTAATTCCTGTAGAAAAAATAAATATTATAGGTATTTAGATATTTATTTTAAAAAATTATTCCATTTTTAAATGTAATTAAGAAATTATAAAAAATGGAGTCGTCAAGTTTAATTTTTCGATAGCTAATTTTTTACTACTTTTTTTAGTTTGAAAGTTACTTTTTGCTGCTTTTTAAAATTAATTATCGAGTACAAAGCCTGATATTTTAATATTATTAATATTTTTTTTTGAATTTCACACCAATAAAATTCTTTAAATTACCGCCTAGATGGCATGAAAATTCACTCATAAACGAAGTGAAGAAAATAGTATTTTTCTTTTTTTCTACATTTTCTTTTCTTCAGTGTTTATTAGAATAAAATTCCTGTAGAAATTGACTTGTAAACTAATTATAAATTATAATTGACAAAAAGTGACAACTGAAAATTAATTAATAAAAATATTTTTGTTTACAGGACAAAATGACACAATTGTCACTTGGTGCACTGTGTCAAAGGAGGAATTTGAAAAGTGTAAACAATTTTCGAACGTAACAATGAAAGATAGAGCATACTTTGGTGCACACTTTATTCAACTGAATTGCACTCATGCTTTTAATAAAGAAGAATGTATGTTTCTTCTTGATCAAGAAAAAGCACAATTAACCACTCTGGATCCCGGTGAAGTGTTTACAGCAGGAAGATATCACAGTTTAATTCCAATAATGAAGGAAATTTACGAAAATAAATTAAATTATCAATATGCAGTTGCAGTTGTTAAGAAAAACACTTTAACTGATGTCTCGAGTCTTTATAATTTACGTGGCAAGAAGGCATGTTTTCCTGGTGTGGGAATATTGGGTGGATGGGTCATTCCACTAAATCAGGTATGCATAATCCAAGTTAAAAATATTAAAAAGGGTAATTTTCAAAGAAGAGTCAAAATTAAAAATTTTTTCAAAATTTCTTTTCCGCATTCACATATTTTAATTAAAAAATAAAATTATTTTAAACTGCATACAAGCTCATTTCTAATAAGAGGCTTCACACTCTATAACTAATTTTAAAAAAGTATCAAAAAATAGATTTAATATTGAAAAAAGTAGTAAAAAAAAATAGCTATCGAAAATTAATTTTAACGAATAAAAAAAATTGTTTTTAGACGATTCACAAAAATTTAATTCAATATTTCCCTGATTGTTTCCTGATTTCAATTGAAAATATTTATTTTTATTCCAATCCTGCTGAGAATTTTAATTCTAAATTTTTGAAAAATTCAATTATTTTCTAAATTTTTATCCTAAAAAATACAATTGTATTTAAAAGTAATTTTCAAAAGTAAACAAATCAAATTATTTAGTAAAATTTGATTTAAATTCTTCACAGGAATTAAGAAAATAAATTTTAATAATTTTTCAAAGCAGAAATTTAAATGTTATTACAGTTTTACAACAATTAAAATTTTCGACGATTTCAATTTAATACCTATTCTTTTAAAATTTAGTTATTTCTAAAAAAAATGGTACTATAACGCTTTTAATATTCAATTTATATCTAAAATTATAACTGAAATTCTTTATCAAGAATTTATCAATTTTTTAAAAAATAACTGAATTTCTGAGAAGAATTTTATTATTTATGAAAATAATTGAATTCTTGCGAAGAATTTTATTTAATTCCTTTTAAATAATTGAATTCTCGTGAAAAAATTTATTATTTACGAAAATAATTGAATTCTTGTGAATAATTTTATTTAATTTTTTTTTAAATAATTGAATTCTCCTGGAAAATTTTATTATTTGGCAAACTAATTAAACAATTGTGAAGAATTAAAGAGAAAGAATATTTATCAATTTCTTTTAAAAAAATAATTGAATTTCTGAGAAGAATTTTATTATTTATGAAAATAATTGAATTCTTGCTAAGAATTTTATTTAATTCCTTTTAAATAATTGAATTCTCGTGAAAAAATTTATTACTTGGGAAAATAATTGAATTTTTGCAAAGAATTTTTAATTTTTTTTTTAAATAATTGAATTTTCGTGACAAATTTTAATATTTAGGAAAATAATTGAATTCTTGTGAAGAATTTAAGAAAGAATTCAAGAATTTATCAATTTTTTAAAAAATAATTGAATTTCTGAGAAGAATTTTATTATTTACGAAAAAATAATTGAATTTTTGCGAAGAATTTTATTTAATTTTTTTTTAAATACATAATTGAATTTTCGTGACAAATTTTAATATTTAGGTAAATAATTGAATTCCTGTGAAGAATTAAAGAAAGAATTAAAGATTTTATTAATTTTTTAAAAAAAATTGTATTTCTGAGAAGAATTTTATTATTTACGAAAATAATTGAATTCTTGCGAAGAATGTTATTATTTCGGAAAATAATTGAATTCTTGTGAAGAATTTTACTAAAATTCTTAAAAGTAGGTGTAATTGAATCGTTGAGAAGCATTTTATTATTTATGCGAAAATAATATTATTCTTGCCTGGAATTTTATTTAAATTTTTAAAAGTACATAATTGAATCTTCGTAAAAAATATTATTGCTTGTAAAAATAATTGAATTCTTGCAGCTAGAATTTTATAGAAAGTTTTTAATTGATTTTTTTCGAAAAATTTTACGAAATATTTTCAATACAAATTCAATTCCTGTTAAAATTTTATTACTTATAAAAGAAATTGAATGTTTGCGAAGAATTTTATCAAAAATCTTTTGTGGAATTTTATTAAAATTGTATAGGTATTGAAAATCATTGATTTTCGAAAAGTTTTTGAGAATAATTGAATCGAATTGAATTGAATTAAAGAATTTTATTAAATTTTTAGAATTTTTTTTTTATTTCAACTATTAACGAATTTAAAGTGATGCCTGTAATAATTTTAATAAAAATAATTTTATTTTAAAAATTCGCTTGTATGCAGTTTCTCCAAAATAACTCCAAATTAGGGAGTTTAGGATAAATATTAAATAATATTTTAATATAACGAATATAATTATTAATGGATTCTCTTATTATTTTGCTAGTTGTTAAAAAACGGAGGAATGGAAATTCATGACTGTAATAATCACGTGAAGTCTGCAATTCAATATTTTGGACCAAGTTGTGCTGTGAATTCGCTGATCGACAAATACAATCCATTAGGTAGGTTTTAATAATAATAATAATTTTTAAATAATTAATAAACTTTAAAATGATTTATTTGTAGAAGACATTTTTTAAAGATAAAATACTTTACGATTTTTAGGTGACAACTCTCATCAACTCTGTAACTTGTGCATTGGAAAATTACCTGGTGGTAAATGCACCAATGCAGATCCTTATTCTGGTTACGAAGGAGCGTTCCGCTGTTTGTCTGAAGCTGGAGACATTGCTTTTCTAGTTCATACGACCGTACAAGAAATGACATCGAAAACATACGAAAATTGTGAGTTTAATTAATATTTTAAATATTATTTTCTTTTCTAAAGATGAAAAAAAAAATAATTTTTATTTTTATTGATATCAATTTTATAAAAACGAACCCACCATATTGGATCCGCCATTTAGAATTTTTAAAAACAGTCTTTAGATTCGTAATCAGACCTCAGAAACCGTTGACAATTTATTTAAAATTCTAATATCATACTTTTATAATCCGCGAAAATTATAAACTTTTTTCTTTGTTTCTTGCATATTAAGCTCTACATACGAAAAACGATTACGAATTACTTTGTTTGGATGGATCACGAAGGCCAGTGGATGAATATCGCATTTGTAATTGGGGTGAAATTCCATCGCGAGCAATTGTCACATCTTCAGCGACAAATCATTTTACAAGAAAATTGTATCAAAGATTTTTAGAGAAAGCAGCTCGACGTTATTCGACAGAGAGGCATAATTCGACTTATGATTACAATAGTCGACCTGATTATTCATCGAATAATAACTCAGGTTATGATAGAAGAAAATATTATGGCAATAATAATAATAATAATCCCTCTGGATACAGTAATTACGATAATCCAAATGAATTCGGCAATATGGACTATCGTGAAGGATTTGATGGATATCAGAATAATGACGATAGAAGATATTCAACTGAAGCGCCGTTTATCAAAAATCCTGATAATTTCAATTTGTTTGAATCGCCATCGAATTATTCAAAGCACAATCTTCTCTTTTCCGTAAGACATAATTAATTATTACAAATTATTCTTTTCTTTTTCACATAATTTTAATTCCGTTTCTTAATTTTCTTAACAAAGGTTTCGGATATTATAAAAATTATATTATTTAAAGTATTTTTTTAAAAAAGTAATTCTCAGAATTTTTTCATTTTAATTTTTTAAACTTGAATTATTCTCAATATTTTCGTTAACATATTTCAAAAAATTCAAATACAGACCAAAAATAATAACATTAACATTTTTGAAAATTATGTTTAACACTAGCAAATTACAGAATTTTTTTATTTTCAAATATCAATTTTTGAACAATTTCATAATCAAAATTTTAAAAATTCACTTATTAAGTACATAAATAATTATTATGATTAACAATTTTTAAAACTTCAATATAATATTCAATATAATTCTTCGCAAGAATTCAATTATTTTCCTAAATAATAACGTTCTTCGGAAGAATTCAATTATTTTTGTAAATAATAGTAATTTGTTGCAAAAATTTAAATTTTAACAAATCCAACGAAACAATTCAATTATTATTTTTTTAAATTCGTTTTAAAATTTTTAAAAAGAATCCAATTATTTTCTAAAATTTTAATAAATCTTTTGAAACAATTCACGATTATTTTAAAAAAAGTTGAAAGAAATTGTTCATAAAATTCAATTACTTCCAAAATTTTCAATTAAAATTATTAAAGGAAATCGATTATTTTTAAAAAAAATTTAAAGAAATTCTTAAAAAGAATCTAAATTTAGGATTTTTAAAAATTTTAATAAAATTCTTCACAAGAATTCAATTATTCTAAAATTTATACAAAAATTCTTTAATATTTTCAGTATTTTTCGAAAAATTACATTAGAATATTTTTAAAAAACTAATTTTATAATAAATAAATAAATAAAAATTTTATCATCATTTTTTTTAAATTCAATTATCTTTGGAAAAAGAAATTAAAATTTCTAAAAATTTATTGTTTTAGATTTATTAAAGTTTGAAAGAAATCAATTTCTTATTTATAATTATAATTCTTCACAAATTTGATTATTTTCTTTTAATTTTTAAGAAATTCAATTATTTTTAAAAGATTTTACCAAGTTTCAATTGTTTGGAAATTTTTCAATTGTGTATATTTGAAAAATTGTTGTCTTTCAAAAATTATTTAATAAATATTTTTTAAATATATATTTTAAAAAAATTTATTTTAAGAATTTCTTTATTATAATTTTTTGAAAATATAATAACATTGAAAAAAATATGGATATTAATATAGTTGCAATTATTCTAAAAAATTGAATTTTTATATTTTTAAATAATTGAATAAAGGGACTAAAAGGGACTTTTTTTGGACCTTGAATAGTGGATCCGAGGCCTAATAAGAAAATTTCAAAGAGAAATATATTTTTACGTATATTGTTTGTAAATAAATGAAATTAATAAATATTTTTTAGGACGTAGCCAGAGATTTTGTCTCCTTACCAGAGAAAAGTCAAATCTATTCGGAATATTTGGGAAAGAACCTTGATTACGTTCTGGCGTTGAGGAACTGTCCTGTTAATAGAATGAAAATTTGCGTAACATCAGATCCCGAATTGGCAAAGTGTTTCAAAATGAAGGTAAAACTTGCGATATACATAATATTTAATATTAGATGTATTTTATAAGTTTCTAGGTAAATGTTAAATTTTTCTTTTCAGATTGCTTTGGATGCACAATTATTGAAGCCACAAGTTGTATGCCACAAGGGTTACAGTCACATTAACTGTATGCGCGAAATAGAAAAGGGGTGAGTATTAATTTAAAGAAAAAAAAGTTATATACAATTTGGAAAAATGTTAAGTTTTCTTTAACCGAAATTTTATTTCTGAAAATTTGCAAATTTTTATTTACTATAATATTAAATTAAACGAATTTCCATAGTACAAAATTTTTTATCATAATCACAATTTTATTTGGAAGAATTTACATTACGTCGAATTTTAATTTATCGAAAAATTTTCATTTGCTAGAATTCTTATTAAACAGAATGTAATTTAGACGAATTTTTAATTGACATGAAAAATATTACAAAGAATTCTTTCTTAGCCGAATTTTTATTTCACAAAAATTCCATTATTGAACAATTTTCAATATTACATAAATTTCATTTAACCAGAATTTAATTAGACAGAATTTTGTATTTAAAACAATTTCTGTTTGTCAGAATGGTCGCCATGTTGGATCCGCCATTTTAAATTTTTATTCTGATGAAAAATAGTCAAATTCAGCAATCTCAAATTATTTTTAACCGATTTTTTATTCTTTGAAATAAATCAAGCTTAAATGTTGAATTTAATAGAATCTAGAGTTTAAATATAAATTTAAAACAAATAAATCGGTTTTATATACTCAAAAATGAATGTAGAATACAAAACAAAATTTATAATTTTTTATGGGACTTGAATTTATTTATTTTTTTTGAAAACGGACTTAAGTAATAAAACTATTTAAAATTTTGTAGATTTGCCGACGTTGCAGTATTGGATGCGAGCGATGTTTACACTGCCGGTCTACGCTTCAATTTAATTCCTTTTATTTCCGAAGTGTACAATCTTGGTTCTCCTGAATATTACGTGGTCGCCGTTGGAAAGGAAGACGATCCCGATACGGATTTAACATATTTGAAAAATAAATACACTTGTCACACTGGAATTAATACGGCTGCTGGTTGGGTCTATCCTCTTTCCTATTTACTCACCAACAGATGGATGAGAGGATATGGCTGCGATTCGGTTCGCGCTGCTGCTGAATATTTCACGAAATCTTGTGTACCTGGAGCCCTCAGTCCAGAATATAATATAGGTAAATTCTTATTAATTATATTTATTATTCAATATTAATTAATTATTTAATGATTGACAAATTTTAGGACAAAATCTGACTAAATTTTGAATTTTTTCGTCCGCCATCTTGAATTTTTAATAACTGACAATGAATTCGTAATCACCGACCCTTCAGAATTTTATAATCTTTAATTCAAAGCAAGGAATATGAAAATCGATCACGATTTCTGACCTCTAGACTTTTCTGAACGAAAAATTATTGTTCCACAGTTTAAAAGCTCTCGTAAAACGGGAAGCTTAAATTTGGACCAAAAAATTAGGATTTTTAGAAATAAATGGGTTGATAAATTGCCACGAATAATTTTAATTTTTAAATATTTTTTCATTAAGTATAATTTCCTTTAACATAATGACAGGCCTCGGATCGACTTTCACGAACAAAAAAAGTCGAAAAAGTCGTTTATTTAATTTAGTGTTGTCACAAATATTTTATTTTCTATTTCCCTGATTCTTCACTGATTTCTAAATTTAATTAATCAAAATTTATATAATTTTTCTAAATAAAATATTTAAATACTTATTATTTCTTTTTTCACCAGGAAATAAAATTTTAAAAATTTCAAATTCTGAAATTTAATAATTTCTAATAATTAAAACTGTAACCCTTACAAAAGTTCAATGATTTTCTACAATTTTTAACTAAACTTCATTTCTAAATCAATTATCTAAATTACTTTTTAATATTTTTCCCAAAGTTGTTCAAGAATTCAATTATTATTTAAATACAAAACTTCAATTTTTTATAAGAATTAAAACCGTTCATTTTTTTTTTAAGATATTAAGGTAGAATATATTCAAAAATTTTAATAAATAAATTCGTAAAATTAACTAAATCATTTTTGAAAGACGCAATAGTTTTCCAATTACATAACAATTAAAAAATTTTTTTAAAAAATTGAAATCTGGTAAAATATTTAAAAAATACTTAAATTTTGCAACGAATTCTAATAAAATTCCTTAAAATAATTAAATTTGACAAAAGTTTAAATAAAATTTCTGAAAATAATTGAATTTTGCAAAGAGTTTTATTAAAATTATAGATAAATTAGAATTTTAATAAAATTCCAGAAAAAAAATTAAATTTTGCAAAGAGTTTTATTAAAATTCATGAAAATAATTGAATTTTTCAATAAATTAAAAAAAAAATCCTAGAAAATGGAATTTAGACAAAAATTTTTATTAAATTTCCTGAAAATAATTGAATTTTGCAATACATTTTTTAAAAATTCCTGAAAATTAGATTCAGATAAAAATTTTATTAAAACTTCTGAAAATAATTGAATTTTGCAAAAAGTTTTATTAAAATTATAGATTTATTTATTTATTTATTTGATGTGTATACGGGTAAATACCCTTTCGTACAAAAGTACTGTAATATTGCTTAAATTAAAAAATAAAAAACGAAGCAATGACAATAAATCGATAGATAGATGAATTAGAATTTTAATAAAATTCCAGAAATAAATTAAATTTTGCAAAGAATTTTATTAAAATTCATGAAAATAACTGAATTTTTCAATAAATTAAAAAAAAAAAAAATTGGATTTAGAAAAAAATTTTATTAAAATTCATAAAAATAATTGAATTTTGCAACGAATTTTAATTAAATTCTTGAAAATTGGATTCAAACAAAATTGTTATTAAAACTTCTGAAAATAATTGAATTTTGCAAAAAGTTTTATTAAAATTATAGATGAATTAGAATTTTAATAAAATTCCAGAAAAAGAAATTAAATTTTGCAAAGAGTTTTAAAAAATTTCATGAAAATAATTGAATTTTTCAATAAATTTTTTAAAAATTCCTGAAACTTGAATTTAAATAAAAATATTATTTAAATTCATGAAAATAATTGGATTTTGCAACGAATTTCAATAACACTCTCTAAAATAATTAAATTTTGCAAAAGTAATATTTAAAAAATAATCAAATTTTTGATGAATTTTAATTATAAATAATTTCTCAAAAATTCTGAAATAGTAAATTTTAAAAAATTTTAAATTACTTTGTCAGAGAATTACTTTTTTCAAAACTATTTTAATATTTTCATTTTTTATCGAATTTACACTTGAAGATTATTGTAATTCATTAAAATTTTAAAAAATTCAATTATTTCCAAAAATTTCAATAAAAATTCTATAATAGTTAATTTTCAAAAATTATTATAAAATACTTGAAAAAAAAGGATTTATTTTCAATTAATTTTACTAAATTTAAATTATTCAAAATCTTTTTAATTGTATATTTCAAAAATTTAAAAAAAAAATGTTCGAAAGATTTACCTACAGCTATTTTTTATACTGCGCGTAAAAATCGAAAAAAGTTGCAGCATTTTGTACTAAGAATATGGTATTTTGTCGCCAAATTTGGAAGAAAAGTCGAAAAAGTAGCAATAAATTTTTTTAATATAAGCCGATATAAAAGTCGCATTATTTGAAAATAGTTGAAGAAAGTCGAAAAAATCATAATATCCGAGCCCTGTAATGATAAAAAAAGAAATCATATCATAAAAAATAATCTTTAATTCTGTCTTAGGAGTGCCTTATGACAACATGTGCGACCTCTGCCACGGAACAGACAACAAATACTGTCGAAGAGATCATTCTGAAGATTACTTTGGCTATACAGGAGCTTTCAGATGTTTAGTGGAAGGTGGAGGCGATGTTGCTTTCGTGAAGCACACAACAGTCGCAGAAAATACGGACGGCAAACGAAAGGAATGGTGGGCTCGTAACACTTTTACAAGAGACTTCCAACTTCTCTGTCCGGATGGAACACGTCGCTCGACTCACAAATATAAAGAATGTAATTTAGGAAAAGTCGCCGCCAACGCAATTGTCACACGAGGAGGAGAGGCCTACAACGAGACACAAGTTAACGCATTCATTAATCTTTTTATTTACGCCCAACAATTCTATGGAAGAAAGGATCAGGACGACTTTAGCTTCAGTATGTTCTACAGTGTTCCCCCGTACAGTGATTTAATATTTCAAGACGCAACTCAACAGTTGGTTGTCATTCCAAGGGAGAAACGTGAATATAGCTCTTATTTAGGTCCAGATTTTATGAGAGCAAGAAGAGTCGTTGATTGCGCCGCCGGAGCTTCATCAGTAACATATTCTTTATTGGGAACTTTTACCATGATCACTCTTGCTTTACTTTTTAGCAGATAAGTATTTTTCATAATGATCAAAGTTCAATTTATCCCTCAAAATTTTTGAAATAAATTTTCAAAAATTCCTGTTCTCCAAGAAACAAAGAAAGCCAGTAGAATTTCAAAAAAATACTCCTTGATAACGAAAAAAAAATCGTTTTTGAATCTCAAATTTTACAAACAAAGAGAAATTCTACAAGACTGTATTTAATAGTGTACATAAACTAACTGCCTACGTCTGATACCAAAACAATTTTCTTCGAAAATTATTTTCATTTGCAATTAAAATTAAAAATTTAAAGAAAAATGTATTTGGATCAAAGACTTGAAATTGAATTTACAAAGTAGCTGAAATCGATAAAGTTAAAGTCCACAAAAAATTGATGAATCTATTCGAATATTACTTTTAAGAAATGTAGAAAAATTGAAAGTCTCGTTCAAAGAACCGCTAAAAAGCTAAAATATATTAAAAATTAAAGTTTTAAATCATAATTTTTAAAGGAACTTTTTCGTAACAAGAAATTGAAATTCCGAATTCTTTTTTAATTTAGGAAGGAAGGAGTTTGAGTTTTAGAAAATTATAACGTTGTGGACTTGAACTTTTGGTTGAAAATTGTCCGTCGGCTAAATTTTATAAAATAAAAGTTAGTCTTTTAATAGAATGTGGAGATTTTAAAACAACTTTATTTGAACAACTTTAGAGAATTAGACTTCTTATTTACAAATTTTTAATGCTCTTTAAAAAGAACTTTTATACAAAATTATTGCTTTGTATATATTTTATACACATTCATAAAGTACAAGTGACTATGAGTCAAAAACTATGTAGTTTGTAGATATAGTTGAAAATAGTTAAACTTACATTTTATATTGTGCCTTTGAAACAAAAAGATGTTAATAAGAAGAAAATAGTTTCTAATTATTAATTATACATTAAATTTACGTTTTATATTAATAAATCCGTCCATTTTTAATATTTGAATGTAATTTTTATATATTGTACTTCTATTTTAATGTACTATGCCGTCCATGGAAAATTTTGAAATAAAAATTTCTTTATATAGTTTCCTAAAAAGATTTTTCGTTCTTTCGTTTTTCCATATATATTTAAAAAAAATTTTGAAGTTTTAAAAATATTTTAAAAACCGTCATCGAACATCATTGTCAATATTAATAATAATCGTTGTACTATAAGTTCGTAATTTAAAGTCAGTTATTTTTTATTTGTTTCTTTGTTTTCTAATTTTTTTGGTCATTTTTCTTTTTAAATGTTTTGAATTTTGGAATTTAAGAAATTCTAATTTAATGTTTTGAAGATTGAAGAGAATATAATGTGTGATACTATTTTTGCACAAAAATGTTAGAAATTATTTTAATTTCCACAATTTTGCGATAATAATCAAATTCCCTTTTTAATTTCAAAAGATAACATTTTTGATTAAAAAAATGTTATAATTTTTACAAATTTTATAATTTTTAATCTAAAATCATTTAATTCCTGCATAAAATGTTATTAAAATTTTAAAAATTGAATTTTTTTGAATAATTTTATATTAAAATTTTTTATACTAATTATCTAACATCTTTCAAAAAACTTTATTAAAATTTATAAAATTAATAGAATTGATTCCAATAATTATATTAAACTTTTTGAAAATAATAGAATTTTCGCAAAGAATTTTATTATTTATATAAAAATACCTATAATTAAATTATTTTTCGAAATTCTATTAAATTTTCTTAAAATTTTTAAAAATACTTGAATTCATTCGAGAAAATTTATAAAATTTAGAAAAATAGTAATTAAATTTCTGTAAAGAATTTTATTATTTATAAAAATAATTGAATTCATCTAAAAAATTGTATTATTTATAAAAACAATTGAATTTTTACGAAGAATTTATTAAAATTGTAAGGAAAATAATAAAAATTTAGCGAAAAATTTTATTAAAATTTTTTAAATTAATTGAATTGTTTCGAAGGATTTAATTAAACTTTTTGAAAATAATTGAATTTTCCATGAAGAATTTAATAAAAATGAAAATAAATTAATTCATGGGAATAATTTTAATATTTTCGGCGAAATTGAAATAGAATTGAAAGAAATTAAATTCAAAAATATTTTTCTATACTACTTTTGAATAAGAATAAAAAACAAATAAAAAATTTTGACCAAAATAATGAATCAACGTTGACTTCAGTTCATTTCGGAAAATTGTTTTGATAAATTCTCATTTGGTCCAAAATTTAAACAAAAATTAATTTGGAAGATTCAAAATTCTCTTTTTAATAATAATATAAAATTACAAGTCTCATAAAATGTCTGAAAGCATAAATTCAAAAACCAATTTAGACACAAATGTGAATAATAGAAAGAAACCGAGATTGGAAAAATTGGCGGTGCCAAGAAAACGGATTGACAATAGTGTAAGGTTAAATGCTTTTCAGGTAAAAACAAAAAAGTGTATTTAATAAACGAAAATTTACAAAATATAAGTTTTATATGTAAATTAAGAAATGATTTTTTTTATTTTTAAGGTGAAACCAGGAGCATTAACTTACGAAATTTCTGAAAATGTAAATAAATTGGCTCAACCAAAATTGAGAAATTTATCCGATAAGTTTCAATATTCCAGCTCATCCTTTTTCTCAATGACACCTTTTTTGAAACCTGGTAATAAATACATTTTTTCTACTACGCTTTTAAATTAGTAAATTTATAATTAATTAAGAATTAATTAATTTCACTATTTTTGAAATAAATTTTTCTAATTATTAAAAAAAATGTCTTTAAAAATATTAGTGAAAGTTATTCTGGAAATAACAATTTTTAATATTAAATTTTACTATTTAAAGAATGAAATTTTTCCAAGTAATAAAAATTTTTATGAACTCGAACGCCATGTTGGATCCGCCATTTTCAATTTTAAAAAAATGACAATGATTCATGCAAAGAAATGCGGCCTAAAAAAAATATTAATTAACATTTAAAAAATTAAAATTTTATTATTAATCGAATTTTCTAAAGGAATTTTTAAGAAAAGAAATTCCAAACCTACGAAATTTATTTGTTTATACAATTTACATACGGTCAAAATTTTTTTTTCTTGAAAATTTATATTTTTCTTTTTCAACAAAATACTATTAAATAACATTATAATAATTATTTAAATGTTTTATTTTTCTAAAGGTCTGCTTTCTATTAGACAAACTTAAAAAATTTTGAAAACTTAATTTAAAAATTTTTTTTCATCATTGAAAACATTTAAAAATCTTTTGCACCAAGTTTCAAAGAACCACAATGAAGTTTAATTTTTTTTAAAGAAAAATTTATTTTTTCTTTAATATTTTCTGTTAAAGAAAATTTATGTAAAACAATTTACAAAAATAAAACAAATTAAGAATTTTTTACAGAAAATTTAGTAAAAGAATCGCCAATAATGAATTCGGCCAACGAGGAAAGTACAAGTCAGAAACAAAATATCGAAACTTATGCAAAAATTACAGCAAGACGTAAGAGTGTTTATCTTAAACGATTGCATCATTTTTCAAAACCAATGAAAAAACCACAAGAACCAGGATTTGGAAGTTTTAATTCTGAAAATAATTTTTCTCAGTTGCTAAAGAATTTTCCAGGAAGAAAAAAATTATAAAAATTAACATTACACAAAATAATTATTCATTTACATAGCAATATAGTTACTTCAGTTAATAGAATGTAAAATTATGTTTCAAAATTATTAAAAATATTATTATTAATTAAATTGTTTTATTGTTTCAATTTTAATTATCTTTTTCTTCATTTAATATATTTACAACTTTATAATTAAGTATGGACATTTTTTTTATTTTTTTTTACCCTGTAAGAAGAAAGAAGTTTTCAAAATTGAGAAGAAAGAAATTAAAATCAATTAAATTAGAATGAAATTACGCAAATAAAATTAAATAAAATTAAAAAAATAAATTTTTAAAATAAAAGAATCTGAATTTTAAGAAAATTGAAAAGAAAGAAATTAATCACTTTTGCAAAAAGTTATTTTTTCGAATTGTTATTTTTGCGAATTGCCATTTTTACGAATTGTCACTTTTGCGAAAAGTTATTTTTTTGAATTGTCATTTTTGCGAACTGCCATTTTTTCAAATTGATATTTTTACGAAATGTCACTGTTGCGAATTGTCATTTTTGCGAAAATTGCTATAGTAAATCTATATATATATATGCATACAAGTTTACTATAGCAATTTTCGCAAAAATGACAATTCGCAACAGTGACATTTCGTAAAAATGACAATTCGAAAAAATGTCAGTTCGCAAAAGTAACAATTCGTAAAAATGGCTATTCCAAAAAATGACATTTCGTAAAAATGCCAATTCGAAAAAATGTCAGTTCGCATAAATGACAATTCGTAAAAATGACAATTCGCAAAAATGACTATCCGCAAAAGTGACAATTCGTAAAAATGTCGATTCACAAAAGTGACATTTCATAAAAGACAATTCGAAAAAATGACATTTCGTAACAATAACGATTCGTAAAAATGACAATTCGTAAAAATAGCGATTCACAAAAGTGACAATTCGTAAAAATGGCTATTCCAAAAAATGACATTTCGTAAAAATGCCAATTCGAAAAAATGTCAGTTCGCATAAATGACAATTCGTAAAAATGACAATTCGCAAAAATGACTATCCGCAAAAGTGACAATTCGTAAAAATGTCGATTCACAAAAGTGACATTTCATAAAAGACAATTCGAAAAAATGACATTTCGTAACAATAACGATTCGTAAAAATGACAATTCGTAAAAATAGCGATTCACAAAAGTGACAATTCGTAAAAATGGCTATTCCAAAAAATGACATTTCGTAAAAATGCCAATTCGAAAAAATGTCAGTTCGCATAAATGACAATTCGTAAAAATGACAATTCGCAAAAATGACTATCCGCAAAAGTGACAATTCGTAAAAATGTCGATTCACAAAAGTGACATTTCATAAAAGACAATTCGAAAAAATGACATTTCGTAACAATAACGATTCGTAAAAATAGCGTTTCACAAAAGTGACAATTCGTAAAAATGGCTATTCCAAAAAATGACATTTCGTAAAAATGCCAATTCGAAAAAATGTCAGTTCGCATAAATGACAATTCGTAAAGATGACAATTCGCAAAAATGACTATCCGCAAAAGTGACAATTCGTAAAAATGTCGATTCACAAAAGTGACATTTCATAAAAGACAATTCGAAAAAATGACATTTCGTAACAATAACGATTCGTAAAAATGACAATTCGTAAAAATGACAATTCGTAAAAATAGCGATTCACAAAAGTGACATTTCGTAAAAATGACAATTCGTAAAAATGATCTTTCGCAAAAGTGACAATTCGTAAAAATGTCGATTAGCAAAAGTGACAATTTGTTAAAATAACAGTTCGAATAAAAGCAATAATTCGGTAAAATGACAGTTCGGTCAAATGACATTTGGAGAATAATCATGAGCCTTGGGAATGAAATCAAACTGAAGAAAAGCGAGAAAAAAACCAAGAGGAAAAATAGTTTTAAATATTCGCCTACATGATTTTGGTAAACTTTATTCAAGAACGATTTGTTAATCATAAAATTTACATTTACTTCTGTTTCATTAATTACGAAGTAGTTTTTGAATTGTTTTAAAAACATTTAGTTCCCTTCGTAAGATCTTTTACACTTAGTTTCATGATTCTATAATTGATGTCTGTTAAATTCAAACCATTGAATACACATTCCTGGTATCGATTTGAAAGAACCCATAATTCTTCTTCTTTACCTTTTGTAGTTGATGAATTGAATGTGTGTGCTGCAGATATAAATTGCAACTTTTCAGGATCCTTATCAATTATTTTCTGAAACAAAATCACAATAAAGTTGAATGACAATTTATATGTTAGAAATATATTACCTACTCTTAATAAATATTTGTATACATATTTGCTTTTTATTATACAAGAGAAGAAAAAGAAAAAATTGTCTTACAAAGAATGGAATATTTGTACTGTTCGCTGTACTCTTTGCTGTTGAGTTGCTACAACCCAAACTCGTCAAAGAATTAATACCAACAAATAGAATTCCTCTAGAGTCAAAAGCAAAAGCAGCCGATGGATTTGGTAGTCTGTATTCGTGCCGTATAAAATCGATAGATGTATCATTTTCCTGATGTTTTGATCTTCTGAAGAAATTAACAATTGGACTGAACAACTATTTGAAAAATCCGACTTTTGGTTCCGAAGCAATAATGTCATCGATTGTTGCAGTAAAAACGTGAAAACTTCCTAAAGATGACATTGCCAGGAATTGGGGAGTTTTGTCGGTTTTTGGAGACAGAGTGAAACCGTAAATACCAATCGGTGCGTCCATGTATCTTTTACCTACTGCTAGAGGTCCAACCATGAATTTTGGATCTGGACCCTTTATACGCCAGAACTTGCGACCATTCCAAACAAGCAATGCACTCGATTTTAAATAACTCATGTAAATCTGCGATTTAATTATATAAATTATTACTCGGTTTCCTACTACTTTATTTGTAAAAATTGAACTGTCATATCAAAGAAGGCCTACTTTTCAATTTTTTTGATAAAAACGGTAACTTCTGGCCATTTTAATTAAATTCAACTTATTTAGATATTTAACATTGACTGTTAGCAAAATAGACATCAATTAATAAAAATATAAGTAAACATAATTTTAAACTTTTGTGGCAAGTATAATGACCTTATTTGATTCGACCTAATTTAATAAGCAATGTTCGTTTACTGTTGTTGTTCTACAACTGCGTCCACTTGTTTGCACTATAAATCCAAGTAATTCTCCCTTGCCGTCGCTTCCCGTTGCAAATTTCTTTGGAATGGAATATCTGCTAATTAGTCGATTTGCGGATAGATCAAAAATTAATAATTGAGGTTGACACATATGGATTCCCTCATCATTTTGACCGTTGTCTAGAACCCATAGCCAATTTTTATTGCATGGATCTGTCTGTAAAAACAAAATAGTAAATTGTGAAATTGAAATAGATTCTATAAATTATTACATACTTGAATTGTACGTGCTCGGTAGATTCCGATACAATCATGTTTCAAGTGCCACTGCCAATTTGGGTAGGGTTTCAGTAAAGGTCCATTTGGTGCTGTTTTATTAGATATCGTTGCTAAGGTAACAGGAGATTTGTCGTTTTTATTGAGAACAACGAATGTTCGTCCATCTGCAATTTAAATTGAATAATTTCCAGAATAAGAAAATAAGTTGTAAATCCAGATGTTCGAACTACTTCCTATCTACAATCAGCAAAAAAATTTACTTCCTCGTGAAGAAAGCACTAACGATATGTATATTTAATTTTTAAGTAACTTTTTATACAATCTAACTGCTACTTCTTAAAAGTCGAAATAAAATATTCCATCATTCAGGATTTAGTAAGGCTCAGTCCCTACTGTAAATCAAGTAATTTGCCGATGAAGAAATTTTAAAAATTAAAAGAAATAAATGTTTAATAACTTTTTTCAATAAATTTCGAATGTCTGCCAGAAAACGGATGAACCTGCTACTACTTAAAATTTGAAATGAAGTTTTCTATCCTTCAAGATTGCGTAAGACTCATTACCCGATACAAATCGAATGATTTGCCGATGAAGAAATATTGAAAATTAGAAGAAATAAATGTTTATAATTACTTTTTTCAATAAATTTTGATTGTTTGCTAGAAATTGGATGGACCTCCCACTTCTTAAAAGTTGAAATAAAATATTCTACCCTTCAGGATTGCGTAAGGTTCAGTCCCTACAACAAATCAGGTGATTTACCGGTGAAGAAATATTAAAAATTAGAAGAAATAAATTTTTAATGACAGTTTTTAATAATTTTTGATTGTCTGAGTAAGGTTTAGTCCCTGCTACAAGTCAAGTAATTTACCGATGAAGAAATATTAAAAATTGGAAGAAATACATTTTTAATGACTGTTTTCAATAAATTTCGATTGTCTGCAAAAAAAACGGATGGTTGCTGCTGTTTCTTAAAAGTTAAAATGAAATATTCCATCATTCAGGATTTAGTAAGGCTCAGTCCCTATAAGAAATCAAGTGATTGGCCGATGAAGAAATATTCAAAATTGGAAGAAATAAATTTTTAAAGAGGATGGTGATACCATACATAACCTCAAAACTAACAATAACTTCTTAAAATTATAACAACAAAAAAATATATAAGAAAAATTAATTTTATCACATTTTGAAAGATTTAGTTACAAAATATTTTTAAAAAACATTTAGGTATTTTGAGTTAAAATATTTTGACCAATAACAATTTTTAAACATTTTATATTTTTTCTTTCAGCTTCGGAGAAAAATTACAATTTTTATTCAAATTTAACTAACAATATAGGTAGCTCATTTTACTCGTTGAAATATTATCTGCAATCGTAATCTTTTTAATGTTGTTGAAAATAACATTGTTAAAAAATTGTTTAAAAAATAAAATTTGAATTGTTTATAATTATTTTTTAAATACAATATTTTCAACAACATTAAAAAGATTACGATTACAGATAATGTTTCATCAAGTGAAATGAGCTACCTATATTGTTAGTTAAATTTGGATAAAAATTGTATAATTTTTCTTTGAAGCTGAAAAAAATATAAAATGTTAAAAATGACATTATTTTTGTAAAAATATTTTATAATATAAATGTTTCCTTAACATTTTATAACTAAATCATTCAAAGTGTGATGAAATTAATTTTAATTATATTTTTATTTGTTGTAAAAACAATTTCGAGAATATTTTAATTTTGAGGTTATGTATGGTGTCACCATCCTTCTTAAAGACTATGGATAAGCTTGTATAACCTCGGATAACCCCATGTGTTATACGAGGGTTAAACGTCGAAAAAAAATATTCTATCCTTCAGGATTGCGTAAGGCTCTGTCTCTACTACAATTCAGTTGATTTGCCGGTGAAGAAATATTAAAAATTAGAAGAAATAAATTTTTAATGCCAGAATATGTTTGAATTAAACATATAATAATTATTCAAACAAATAATGCTTTTAAATCAAAGTAGGTAGTAAATATATTTTCTATATTGGAATTAAGCTTACAAACTAATTTTAACTGAACAAAATCACTTAAAATTATTTTTGCATTTGAATTAAGTATAATATTTTCTCAGTGCGTAAAAATATTAAAAGTCACAGTAAAAGAAAAGTCTTATTTTAAAATAGAAAAAAAGTTTTAAATTAAGTTATTTGAAGAAGTTAAGAATAATTATAAATTAAGACTTTTCTTTTACTGCATTATTGTAACATTACTTTACCTTCAACTAAATAAAACTCTTTTATAAGAATACTAGTTTTACTGTAATTTCCATTTTTAAGAATTTGGTCTTTTCTTTCTTGACTGTCGTATTCAAAATCAACATATTGCCAATTATAAACATCTTGCAGCTTTGTTTTTCCCTTAAGTTGCTTCTGTTGATTACTTAATCTTGATAAGAATAATATCAGAAGTGCCAAAATATGAAATCTAGCATTCATTTTGACGACGTTCTAATATTTTATAGAAAATAATTAATAATTATTCATAAACAATAATTTTAAATGTACGTAATTTGAAAATACTATAATACACTTTAACAACCCAGTAAAAAAAACTAATTCAAATGAATTGAAACGAATTAACATTTTTGGTAGGCTCCAATTCGTATTTGTCACAAAGCGGGATTCACGAAAGCTCTTTGTGAATTCTTTTTAATTCATTTCAATTAGTTTTCGTTTACTGGGAATATATGACATTTTTATTTCCTACTTTTATATTGAAAACCGAAAAAACGACATTTAGGTTTTGAAATAAAGGGTTTTAAATTTTTATAAGAGGGTTTTCATTATCGATTTTCAGTTTTTTTAAAAATTTTCTGTTTTTTTGGTTATCATATTAATTTCCACACTAATTAATCAGTTTTTAATAAGAAATAACAAGCATTCCTACCTGATAATACAGAATAAAAGTCGATTGTTTTACTTTTGTAAAAAAAACTTATGCCACGAACAGTGGGGTAATGATTAGACAAATTTTGAAATAATAGACAATGCTTTCAATATTGCTGACGCATATTATAAATTTACTAGTAACAGATAAATAAAACCTGTTTATTAATATATTTATAATATTTTACATATTAAGATAAAATATAAAAGAATAAATTGAATTGGACTTAAATTCAATTCAAAATTATAACTTTAAAAAGATATTATGTCACTGTAAAAATGTCCTTACAGTACAATTGTTTATAAAAATTGTTTATAACAATTTTTAAGATGTTAAAGACAAAAACTTTTTTTTTACTACTTACACACCCCCAGACATTATACATTTATACAATATTAAGTATGCAAGGATTTTTTTGAGCAAAAGAAATCGAAAAAAAACTTTCAGGGAAAGTAGAATTGGTCAGGGAAGTCAGGGAAAAGTCAGGGGAAAATAAAGTTAAATTTTTGTAGCAACCCTGATTACGTTTATCAATAAAAAAAGATTCTTTGATTTTACTTAAAAAACTTTGAATCTAAAGAAACAATTTGAGAATATAAAAAAGGTGATAATCGAAATAAATACAACACATTTGTACCTCTACCTTAGTTTATTAACATATATAATTGTTTTATGGATAGTATTACATAAAGGATTTAAACTTCACCTGCTTTATAAAAAAAATGTCGAATACTCCAGTTTTATTTATTACAATATCATTATAATTATATATAAGAAATAAACAACAGTCGTTCTGCTTGTAAGACTTAATTTCTAAAACTCAAACGTTCATTTCGAGACAATTATTTTTATTATTATAAGTTCTAACTTTAATCTTCTATAAATGATTCTAATAGACGTAAATGAAGATTTCACGTTTCTCATGATTTATATACTAATGAAAATAATTTACATACTATTTAGAAATTACTTCTAATGCTTGTCGATACATATAAAGCTACAATATTAAGCTTCAGCTTAATATCATCATAACAGGGATGAGTAATATCAGTCAAATAAAATCGACCTTCATTATAATAAATCATTTCTAAACTCAATTTTCAGGATCGTAAATTCTCCATATTTTATTTTTCCTTAACTAATTATATATAACTGGAATTAAACTAATTATAATTCTCACATTTCATAATTTTCTTAAAATCATTTGCATGAAGAAATAATTAAGTAAAAGAGAAAAAAAAATGCAAATAATTATGCGAAGAACCCATCAAGAGAATTTCTTATTATCATCTTCTTTGGTTAAATAATAACATCCAGTCATTAGTTTTAGGACAAAAAATTGATTCATGATTGGTAAAGGTTGAAAAGAATGGTTAATAATTGAAATAAAATTAATAAAATGAAAAAAATAATAATTATGATAAAATAAATGTAATATAACCGTTTACATTATAGAACCACTTTTGACTTAATTTTAGCCATGAGAAAATTTTTTTAAGTCCTAAAATATACTTGTAATCAATTAAATTATTATTTTCAGGAATTTTAACTAAAATTCTTCTTTCAATCAATTATTTTTAATAATTTTCACAAAAGTTCTTTGACAACTTTCAAATCCATTGCTTTACAATACAATTTTACGTGAAATTTCGATTATTCGTAAATTCTTCAATTAAAATAAAAATTCTTCAATAAAAACTTGAAATAATTTCAAGAAAAAAAATCTGCAATATTAAACTTTTTCAAAAAAATTAATTTCAAAATTCAATTATTTCTTAAAATTTACGCTACTATTTTGCTTTAAATATTCAATTATTATGTAACAATATTCAATGGAAATTCATTTTTATGAAATGAAAATAAATTTTTATTAGAAAATTCTACTAGAATTCAATTATTTAAATACAAATAAAATGCAAATAAATAATTTATTGAAGAATTGCATAGGTATTTCTTAAAATTGAAATCTCATAAAGAATTTCATCAACAAATTCTTAAATAATTGAATTCTTTTCACGAATTTTAATAAAATTTTTAAGAATAATTACATTTCTCGAGGAATTCAATAAAATTGTATTAAAAATAATTGAAATCCTCTGAAGAATTTTATTATTTATGAACATAATTGAATTCCTAAAAATAATTTTATTATTTATTAAAACAATTGAATTAATCCAATAATTTGAAAAATCTGAAAAATTCAATTATTTTTTAGTGTTTTTAACTAACATTTCTCTATAAATCCATTATTGTTAATAATTTTTGAAAAAGTTCTTTTAGAATTTTCAAATTCATTTGTTTGCAATTCAATTTTACAAAATTTCAATTTATTATTCGTATTATTATTATTCGGACAAACTTAAAAAAAAAAAATAATTTGAAGTAAAATTCAAATAAACTTTTTCAAAAAAATTTATTCTTCTGCAGAATTGTTAGTTAAAAGTATGAAAAATTCAAACTTTCACAGATTTTAATATGAAGCCTTTTTAAATACTCCATTATTTCTAAAAATTCACGCTAAAATACTTTTAATATTCAATTATTCTATAAAATCTAAACTGAAATTAATTTTTAAATAAATTTCTATTAGAAAATTCAACAAGAATTCAATTATTTCAATACAAAAAAAAATAATTTATTGAAGAATTGCATATTTCTTAAAATTGAAATCTAATAAAGAATTTTATCAATAAATTCTTAAATAATTGAATTCTTTTGACGAATTTTAATAAAATTTAAGAAAAATTACATTATTGAGAAATTCAATTAAAATTGTATTAAAAATAATTGAAATTCTGCTATGAGTTTTATTATTTATGAAAATAATTGAATTCCTAAAAAGAATTTTATTATTCGCGAAAATAATTGAATCCCCGTAAAAATTTTATTATTTATGAAATTAATTGAATGATTGCGAAAAAATTTGTAAATAATTAAATTCCTGTGAAATTTTTATTATTTTATGAAAATAATTAAAGGTTTTGCGTAGAATTTTATTAATTTGTTTTTAAAATAATTGAATTCTTTTGGAAAATTTTATTAAAATAGTAGATATTAAAAATCATTGAATTGAGGAAAATTTTTCGAAAATAATTAAAATTTTTCGAAAATAATTGAATTTCAGAGAAGAATTTAATTATTTCTAAAAATAATTGAAATTTTGATGCAAAATTTAAAAAAAAAATTTGAACATAATTGAATTTTTGCGAAGAATTTTATTACTTTTGAAAATAATTGAATTTCTGCAATCATTTTTAACTTTTTCAAAATTTCCAAAATTATATCGTACAATTTACAAACTTTTCGTCTTTTCTCAATCAAATTACGGACCTTTTTTTTGAAAAAAACTGACTTTTACGGACTTCAAGCAAATTTACGGACTTTTACGGGATTTACGGACCTAGTTCGAGCCCTGACAAGCTGATATTAATGTTTTCATGATGTTCATGAACAATAAAAAGTTGTATGACCATTTTTTTGGGCGACTATAAAATGTCCCATCAACAAAAATAATTATACTTAGATTACATAAGAATGAGAAAAATTACTATGTACTCCTCTGAAGAATGTTTTATAACTGCTGGGATTCTTGAAAGTATCAGTGAAATTTTCTAATTTTCTAATTTTCTAATTTTGGTTTTTATCTCAAGAGCATAAAAAGTCAAAAATGGATGCTAAAAATAATCCAATGACAAATTGCAAGTAAAGTTGTAATACTAATTTCTTTCTGAAGATTATAACAACAAAAGGATAGATATTCCAAACGGATCAACTGTTAAGATTGTAAAAGCTAATTTAGAACAAAAGGCGCAATGATTCAAAGTGAAAAGGCCAGTGCAACTTCATCAGCGACTGAAAAGAAAATTCTTGTTAAAATTAAAGAACTAATCAAAAATATTCAAAAAAAAAAAATTATTTCTTTAAAAGAAAAGTCGGGACAAAAGTTTTTTTTGATCCGCGTTACACATCTTCGTTAAATCTATTTCCAGTTTCTGAGACTCAACTACTTATTACATTCTGAATTATAATAATTGGGAAATTATTCTCAATTGTATTACTTTCTTTATTTTCTATTTTATCAATGTTAGGTAATTTTAACTTTTAAACAAAGTCTGATGTATATTTTATACTTCTCTGGCCAACCACCACAAGACCACAACTAAATTGGGATAAGGATATATCGCCAGAAGTTAAGAGTGTACCAGTAGATATTTCAGTAATATCTGTACGTTTTACTGGCATGCCAAATTGTGAGAAATTATTTATTCTTCACTTTTCCTATTTTTAGATTGTACATGATAAGTGGATTAGTTATTTTAATGAGATTCTTAATCATCAGTTTCTTTTGTGATGTGCCGCTTGTGATTAACTTCTGCTTCTGGTGTGTGTTCACGTTTTCGTCCAGACGAACATGTAGGAGATGATTTTTCATCGGTTTCATTATCAGGTCTGCAAAATAAACATTTATTACATATCTTAATTTTTTTTTTTTTTTTTTTTTTTTTGAAACTTTATTTTAAACATTTAATTTATAACGGATACAAAGGAATATTATTTGCAAACAATTATATATAAAACTAACCAAAATAATTAGAAAAATTGTATTGATACTTATTTTTATTTTTTACTAAGTATTTGCATTAGCAATTTTCATGACAAGTTCATATCACAGGACCACATAATTTTTTTTTGGAAAATATATATTAGACAATATAAGCAAATAGATAAAATGCGGAAGATTCTAAAATTTGTTCTCTCTTTTAAAAATCAAGAAATTAAAAATTTATTTACTGTGACGCGCTTCTAAAAAAAAAGGTATACCTAAAAAGCAAAATTTTAGGTTATGTTTATAACTTTTGGAGTAGAAATTCAGAAAGAAAATCAATCACTATTACAAATTTATTGATGTTCAAGTCTTTATTACATCCAAAATATTCAATAAAAACTGGTTTCAAATTTACATAATTAAAAAGGAATTTTTAATCAAAATAAATCTAAAACGAACATAACCTATAATTAGTTTGCTTCATAGGCACGTTTATTATGAGCGCGTCACAATATTTTGGAAAACTTTAAATAAATTTTCTTAAATCTCATTTTATTTTCTGACTGTTTGGATAATGAATTATTTTCAATTACTTATACAAAAATAAAAACAAAAACTTAGGATATTTGGTATTTTTCCGATTAGGAAAAATTAATATCTTTTACAAATTTAATATTTGAGTGACCAAAATTTACACATATAAAATCCTAATAAATTTTTATTCAAAAAAATTTTATCAACTATTTCTTACGATACCATAAAAAACACATAAATCGGAGTTAATAACATCAGTTGTAAAAAATTAAATAGCAAATTTCTAGTATTTTCAAAATTTTCAATTGAAATTCTTCAGAAACTATTATTTTTTAAAATTTTAGTAACATTTTTTCAAAAAAAACTAAAATTTTACGAAATTTTAATTGTTTACAAAATTTTCAATTAATTATTTTTCAATTATTTTCAGAATTTATCATTCAAAAATATAATTAAAATGTAAAAAAAAAAAATTTTTTAAGAAATTGAAATAAAATTTTAATGGTTTTTAGAAATTAAATTCCTGTTTATTTATAAATCTCCCGAAATTAAATTATTTTAGATGCATTTTGAATTTCTTGATGTTGTTTTCTACACTAAAAACTAAATAGAAATTGTGGTTCTGCGTTAAATTCAAAAATTGAAAAACGATGCAAAGAAACATTCACTAAAATTCAATTAGTTTAGTTCAAAAAACTAGAATTTTAATAGCAACTGTAAAATTTTAGAAAAATAAAATAACAAAAAATTAATGTCAATTGATTGAAAATAGCAGAAGATTTGATGAAATGGTAAAATCATATTTAAAAATTGAATTAGGAATTTTTTTTTGAAAATATTTCGATATTCACTTTTTTTCTTATCCCGGTGATAACTTCAATTCTAAATTTTTTTAAAATTCAATTATCTTCCAAATTTTTGGTTAAATTTTTCAGAAACTAATTCAATTTAATTCAATTCTTTAAATACAAAAATAAATAGTTTATTGATTATTTCTTAAAATTGAATTCTTATAAAGAATTTTATCAAAAATTTGATAAATAATTGAATTCTATCGAAGAATTTTAATAAAATTTTTAGGATTAATTGCATTTTTCAAGGAATATTATTTAAAATTATATTCAAAATAATTGAATTTTTGTAAAGAATTTTATTTTTAAATATAATTGAATTCTTGCAAAGAATGTTATTAAAATTTTTTTTTAAGAATTTTAATTCCAATTGTATTAAAAATAGACAATTTTTTATGAACAAATTCTATCAAAATCATAAAAAAATAATTGACTTCTTTCGGAGAATTTTATAAAAATTCTTTTAAATAATTGAATTTTTGAATAGAATTTTATTAAAATTTTTGAGAATAATTTTTTTATTTCTACTATTAGAGAATTTAAAGTAATGCCAATTTTTTTAAGTAGCCTTTAATGTCAGCAATCTATGTAATGTATGTTAATAAAATTTCTGTAGTAAATAAATATCAGAATTTCATAATTTTAACATTCATGAAAAGAAATATTTTTTGCATATTAAAAAAATATGCTTTCTTCAAATAAAATAAATAGGAAATTTCTTAAATATATTAACCGACTTAGAAATAATAAACAATAATAGTAATAATAATAATAATCTGAATATTTTTGAAAAGTATGAGTTGTTTTCTTAGAACTTATACGCTTTTCATTCGTGTTCTAATTATTTTAACTTAATTATTTTTAAATGGTTTTCTAAATGATAAAAAACTAAATAACTTCAGATTTGAAGAAAAGTTAAAAAGTTCTTAATGTGAAAATTTGTTTATGTAATTTTAAAAAAGCGTTCGTTCACTTTAGTATAAAAAACTGAATATAAAAAGAATAAATAAAAATAATTAAAAAAAAATAAAAAAAATAAATAAATAAATAAAAAAATAAATAAAAAAAATAAAAAATAAAAAAAAAAAATAAATAAAATAATATAAAAAGAATATAAGCAATAATTTCTTGTTTTTAAATAATAAAAATTGCATAATTTCAAAAAGCCATTAGTCAGTCCAGAATGTCAAGAATATTTCTTTTTTTTTTTAAATAATGCCATTTCTTTTATTCAGACTACTTGTATCCCATTCAGAAAATGAAAAATATGACCTACTAATTACGAATGTGATATAAAAGTGAAAATTAATTTATTCTACTCAATGAGATTCATGCTACGATGAACAATATAGTTAGACATGAATGATATTCACATGCCTGAAGATGAAAAAGACGACACTTCCGCAGTATTTTTTTTCTTTTTCTTATATTTAATTATAAACACGAGCAGTCAATTATTGACAATTAAAATTGAAACAATACTTTACTTTTATAAATTTATTCAACTAAAGAAAAATTTAAATTATTATATTAATAAATTATTTAATTTATTTTTAATTTAATTTTATTTAATTTAATTCAATTTAATTCAATTTAATTCAATTTAATTCAATTTAATTCAATTTAATTCAATTTAATTCAATTTAATTCAATTCAATTCAATTCAATTCAATTCAATTCAATTTAATTTAATTTAATTATTTAATAAATTATTACATTAGAAAAAAGAAAATATTGAAATACTGTGGTAATGTCTGCAAATGATGTTGCAGAAAAAATGAGAGTAAAGAAAATGCAAATAAAAAATGTGAAGCACATACGAATCATAATGTAAAGAATGATAAATACTTACAATCATCTCTGTTGCGAACAATGCTTTTTTTAATTATTTAATTACTTGTGGCTGTACCTGAAATACACAATAATGGAACATTCCTCATAATATTCCACTTTTTTTTGCAAAGAATTTTAAATTTAATCACAATGGAAGAAACAAAGAAAAAAATATTTTGTAAAAATAATGCTCGGAAATTTCATTTTATTTTATTAATTCATATTATATTGTGTTTATGTATATTTTGAATTTGTTTTTAAATGTTTAACATTGTAATAGCAGTTCAAAGCATGAGAAAGTGTAATAAAGCTTGAAAGCAAGTTAATGAGTTAATGAGTGAATTTATAATTCCAAACAGATTTCATTTTTTATGTAAGTATTATATATATATAAGCGAAAATAGCGAAAATTTTTGCAAGCTTCCCAATCAAATCTCTAAGAATTCATTATTTTTATATGAAAAGAAAAATAACAAGACTTCGATATGATCGGATGCAAAATACTTTGTTAATGTTTAACGAAAATTGAAAGAATGTATATAAACAATGGAAAAATAATGCAATATATATGGATACAGTTTTTATTTTAAAAGAAAAATTAGTTTCTTCCACTTTTATTTTTTTGTATTAAAAATTATTCCAAGAATGAGCTTTCTATTATTTTAAATCAATATTTCATCATTTTTAATAAATAAAAAAAAATTATACTTTTAGAGTCATTCCATAATAGTTCGACTAAAGTCGTCGCTGACTAATTTTAAAAAATTATAATAAAGGTATTAGGATCATTAAACATAAAAAATTTTTTAAATATTTTTAATATTTATAGTAAAATAATTTCTTCAAAATTATTTTCATCATTTCAATTAAATTATTATTTTCTAGAATTTTTAACTAAAATTCTTCTTTAAATCAATTAATATTTTCAATAATTTTTTAAAAAGTTCTTTGAGAATTTTTAAATCCATTTGTTTACAATTCAATTTTATGAAATTACAATTACATATTGGAAGATTTTTCAATTAAGTTAAAAACTTCAAATAATTTTTAAAAAAAGTCAATTAAACTTTTTCAAAAAAACTAATTCTAAAGAATTGTTAGACAATAGTATGAAAAATTCAAATTTCCAAAGATTTCAATTTGAAACAATTTCAAAATTTAATTATTTCTAAAAATTTTTGGAAAATTTTTGAAAATAATTGAAATTTTGCCAAGAATTTCATTAAAATTTTTGAAAATAATTGAATTTCGGAGAAGAATTTTATTGTTTATTAAGATAATTGAAATTTTTAACAGAACTTTAAAAAATTTTTGAACGTAATTGAATTTCTACGAAAAATTTCATTACCTCTGAAAATAATTGAATATAATTCTCATAATATTCAATTATTATCTAAAATTTCAACTGAAATTTATTTTTCAATCAATTTCTATTAGAAAATTATACGAGAATTCAATTATTTAAATACAAAAATAAATAACTTATTGAATAATTGAATTGAATTGTCATAAAGAATTTACCAACAAATTTTTAAATATAATTGAAGTCATTCAACAAATTTGAATAAAATTTGAATAAAATTTGAATAAAATTTTTAAGAATAATTAGATTTTTCGAGAAATTCGATTAAAAATAATTGAAATTCTGCAATGCGTTTTATTATTTTTAAAAAATAATTGAATTCCTAAAAAGTATTTTATTATTTATGAAAATAATTGAATTATTGTTAAGAAATTTATAAAAATTGGTAAATATTAGAATTCCTGTGAATTTTTTTACTATTTATGATTGAAAATAATTAAATGTTTGCGTAGAATTTTATCAAATTTCTTTTTAAATAATTGAATTCTTTTTGGAAATTTTTATTATATTTAAAATAGTAGATACTAAAAATCATTGAATTGAGGAAATTTTTTAGAAAATAATTGAAATTTTGCCAAGAATTTTATTTATCAAAATTTTTGAAATTAATTGATTTTCGGAGAAGAATTTCATTATTTTTAAAGATAATTGAAATTTTGACGAGAATGTTTAAAAAATTTTACGAAATTTCAATAAATTATTATAGGAAAAATAAAAACTTCAAATAATTTCTAAAGAATTGAAATTAAAATTTTTCAAGAAAATTAATTCAACAGAATTGTTAGTCAAAAGCTTGAAAAATTCAGATTTTCAATGATTTTAATTTGAAATCTTTTCAAAATTTTATTATTTCTAAAAATTCATACTATAAATCTTTTAATATTCAATTATATCTAAAATTTTAACTGAAATTCATTTTTAAATCAACTTTTATTAGAAAATTCTGGAAGAATTCAATTATTTAAATGCAAAAATAAAAAAAAAATTTTTAATTGAATTCCCATAAAGAATTTTATTTATAAATTTCTAAATAACTGAATTCCTTCGACGAATTTTAATAAAATTTTTAAGAATAATTACATTTTTTAAGCAATTCGATTAAAATTTTATTGGAAATAATTGAAATTCTACGAAGAATTTTATTATTTATGACAATAATTGAATTATTAATATTTAAACATGAAAATAATTAAATGTTTTCGTACAATTTTATCAAAAATTTTATTTAAATAATTGAATTCTTTCGGAAAAATTTATTAAAATAGTAGAAATAAAAAATTATTAAATTGAGGAAATTTTTTTTAAAAATGTTGAAATTTTACCAAGAATTTTATTAAAATTTTTAAAAACACTTGAATTTCAGAGAAAAATTTTATTTATTTATTTACAATTTTTCTTAAAATTGAATTCTCGTAAAGAATTTTAATATAATTTTTAAGAATAATAATAAAAATTTCGCAGGAATTCAATTATTTACTAATTTTGTTATAAATTTCTTTGCAATAATGCCATTATTTTCATAAATAATAAAATTGTTTACAGATTCAATTATTATCATAAATAATAAAATTGTTTACAGATTCAATTATTATCATAAATAATAAAAATTTCGTTTTAGGAATTCAAATATTTTTAATACAATTTTAATCGAATTCATAAAATATAATGGCATTACATTTTTTAAAATATTACATTTTACATTTTTTCATTACTTAAAAAAAAATTTGTAAATAATATGAATTCTAGTAAAATTTTTATTATTTATGAAAATAATTGATCGTTTGCGTAGAATTTTATCAACATTTTTTTTTTCAATTGAATTCAATTAGAAAATTTTGTTAAAATAATAAATTGATATTGAAAATCGTTAAATGAAGTAAAGTTTTTGAAAATAATTAAAATTTTGCCAAGAATTTTATCGAATTTTATTAAAATTTTTGAAAATTATTGAATTTTGGAAAAGAATTTTATTATTTACAAAAATAATTGAAATTTTGACGAGAACTTAAAAAAATTTTTGAACATAATTGAATTTTTGCGAAGAACCTCTGAAAATAATTGAATTTCTGCATTCGCATATAAATTCTCTAAAATTCAATTTTTTTTATTGTTTAAAAAATTCTTCTATAAATCCATTTTTATTTTTTTTAAATAATTAATTAAATACACATTAAAAAATGTAACTAATTTCAGAAGAATTTGAATTATTAAAATTTTTCAATAATCCAAGTTCTTTAAAATTTCTAATTAAATTCATTCAAAATTGAAATTTTATAAAATTTGAAATTGAAACCTTCTAAAGTTTATCTGTTTTTGAAAATTATAAACGCAACTTTGTGAAAGTCAATTAATTTTGAACAAAAAAGACCCAAAAATTCAGAATTTTCTTATGAATTCTAAAAATTTAATTTTTCCCAATACTTTTAATAAACCTGACTTTTCCCTGATTTCCCTGACCAATTCTACTTTTCCTGACTTTTTCCTGAATTTCCTGACCAGTGGCAACTATGATCAATTTAGTTGTCAATTAAATATTGTCCAAGAATTGGAATTTTTCATTTTTCTCCAAGAAAGTTATTTATATTTAAAAATCGTGAAAATAAGCAAACAGACAATAAATTCTTTACATTTTCATAGTAAATTATGTGTTTTCTTTAATATTTTCTAATAGACGAAAAAGTGACAGTTTTTACGACCTCATATTCTTTAGATGCTTTTTTCACAATTAATATTAAAAATATTTAAAAAATTCTTTTAATTCAGTGATTCTAATACCTTTAAAATCATTCCATCAAAATATTATAATTTTTTTTAAAATTACTGAGCGACGACTTTAGTCGAAAATCGAAATATAATGGAATTCTGGAAATTATATTTTATTCTGGATTGATGGATTTTCGGTTAAAATTGACTATCCTATTTAATGGCTAAATTGAAATACAATTATATAAATAAATACTGACAGACAGAATTATAAACAAACACATAACACAAGCTGTTTCTAAAACATTCTAAAATGTTTTTTTTTCATAATTAGATCAACACTTTCCCCAGACAAATGTTTCTTGACTTGCAAGTTTTCCTAGAGTGAACATAAAAGGAAACAATTGGCAACTTACCGAGACGTTAAAGCTCGTATTGCTCTTCTCGGTGAGGGTATCCATTTTGAGTGACTAGACTGTCGACTACTAAGAATGCACCATTAACCGGACCAGTAACAAAAAAGTTTCGAGTAATAAACATAGAAATGTCTACATAAAGCATGCATTAGCAAATTTTATATACTAAAAAAAAACCAGAAAATAATATCAATAAAAGAAATATTCTACGATACTGCAAAAGAAGAATTTATTCCTTTCTCATGCATCTAATTTCACAATTATCATTTTTCCAGAAATAAATATCAAGTAAAGACGTATTCAAATTCTTCATATTTCTTTTTTCATTTTCTCCCTGATTTCTTGTTTTTAACAAATCTCCCGGACTTCTTGTTTCTGTGAAGCAATTAATTTTGTTTGCAAATTTATATCTACAATTTCTATAAAGATAATTAAATTTCAGGTCTCGAATCGACTTTAAGGCTCAAAAAAAGTCACTTTTGTCGATTAAAAATACGAAAAAAGTCGAAAATTTAAAGTCGTTTATTATTTGTATTTCCCTTTCATTGATTTCGAAATTCAATTATTCAAAACGAATAAAATAATTTTCTTAAATAAATATTTAACTAATTTTTGTTTTTCCACGAGGAATAAAAATTAAAAATTTCAATTTCAAACCATCTGAAATTTAATAATTTCTAAAAATTGCAACTTTTAAAATTCAATTATTTTCTATAATTTTTCATTGAACTTCATCTCTAATTCAATTTTTAATAATTTTTCGAAAGTTGTTAGAGAATTCAATTATTTAAATACAAAAAATCAATTTTTTATAATAATTGTAACTGCATCTGTCCATGTTTTTTTTAAAGTTATTAAATTATAATATTTTCAAAAAATTATAATAAAGAAAATGTTAAAATTAATTTTTAAACAATTTTTTAAAATAATTTTTCAAAGACAATAGTTTTTCAATTATATAAATCGAAAATTTTCACAAATAATTGAAATTTTGTGAAAACTTATTAGAAAAGAATTGAATTTTTAAAAAATATTACAAAAATAATCAAATTTTTAAAGAATTTTTATTTTTATAAAAATAATTTCTTCAAAATTTTAATAAATATAAAAAAGAAAATTTTCAAAAATTTTAATTTACTTTATTCGAAAATAATAGAATTTTAAAAAATGATGATAAAACAATTCTAAAAATTAGTTTTTTAAAAATATTCTAATGTAATTTTTCGAAAAAATTTTAATAATTATAAAAAAGTAAAATTTAAAAAAATTTTAATTTACTTTGTTCGAAGATAATTGAATTTTAATAAATTATGATAAAACAATTCTAAAAATTAGTTTTTTAAAAATATTCTAATATAATTTTTCGAAAGTAATTGAAATTTTTAAACGAATTGTAATATATAAATTAAATAAAACCAATTTAATTTTATGAAAAATTGTAATTAAAGCTTTTGAATGCTTTAATAATTATAATAATTCAATAATAAAAAATAATCGTTTTCTCCAAAATGTTGAAAATAATTCTAAAAAATTTTAATGTTATTATTTTATATATGTTTTTGAATTTTCGGAAATATTTAATTGAAAAGTATTGAAAATAATAGAATTTTAAAAAATAAGAATGAAAAAATTCTAAGAATTACCTTTTTCAAAAATATTGCAAGTAATATAATTTTTAGAAGCTAATTTTCATTAATTTTCATTTTTAAATTTACACTCGCAAATTTTTCATTAAAATTTTTAAGAATTCAATTATTTTCTACAATCTTTAACTAAACTTAATTTCTAAATCAATCATTTAAAATCAAATTTTAATAATTTTCTAAAAGTTCTTCGAAAATACAATTTTTTTAATACAAAAATTCAATTTTTTATAATAATTTGAACTGTAACTGTAAAAGTTTTAAATGTATAATATTTTCTTAACATTAAAATAGATAAACTCTTTAAATTAAATTCTTAAAAGTGTTACAAAATAATTTTTGAAAAACAATTTAGTTTTTCAATTATAAACAATTGGAAATTTTCCAAAAAAATTTAAATTTGGTAAAATCTTTTAAAAAGAATTTAATTTTTCAAAAAATATAAATAAATCAAATTTTTAAAGAATTTTGATTACTTTGTTCGAAGATAATTGAATTTTAATAAATGATGATAAAACAATCCTAAGAATCAGTTTTTTAAAAATATTCTAATGTAATTTTTCGTAAATAATTGAATTTCTAAAAAGAAGTTTTGTATAATTTAAGAAAAAAACTAATTAATTTTTTGAAGAATTTTAATTAAAAAATGTTGAACATGATTCTTTTTTTCAAAATTTTGAAAATAATTCTCAAAAATTGCTATATTATTATTTTTTGTATGTATTTGAATTTTTGGTGAATGTTGTAAATTCTAAGAATAATTTTTTTCAAAAATATTCTAACACAATTTTTAGAAGCTACTTGTCATTAATTTTCATTTTTAAATTTTCACTTGAAGATTTTTCATTGAAATTTTTGTGAATTCAAATATTTTCAAAAATTTGCCATTAAAATTTTTTAATGATTTTTCATTGAAATTTTTGAGAATTCAATTATTTTCAAAAATTTGAAATTAAAATTCTTCAAAAGTTAATTTTCAAAAATTATAATAAAATACTTGAAAAAATCAATAATTTTCAATTACATTTTACAAAATCTCAATTTTTCAAAATCTGCTTAAAAAAATTTATTTTGAAAAATTATTCAAAAATTATTTTTTAAAGTTTTGTCTAGTTATTTTTCAATCTATAAAAATAGAAATAAATTGCATTTTATACTAAAAATGTGGTATTTTGTTGCAATATTTGAAAGAAAAGTCGAAAAATTCGCATTTTTTGTAAATAAGTCAGAAAAATCGTATTTTTTGAAAATAGTCGAAAAAGGCGAAAAAGTCAGAATATCCGAGGCCTGAAATTCAATTAACATGCCATTCTACTATTTTAACATACTAGAGAGAAAAAGGTACGAATTTTATGCAATTATCTACAAAAACAATAATTCATGCAAATTTAAAAGAATTTTAATTACACATTCTTGAAAAATTTCACAAAAATTGGAAACATTTAGAAAAAAATAAAAAATAAAATGGAGGAAAATTAATTTTCAAAGTTGAAACGGAAGATGTTCTTTCAATTATAAATTCACTCAAATAAAAAATGCATTTCTCGACTAATAAAATAGATAAAAATATAGTTTTTGAGTAAATTAATGATTTAATTTCAATTTTTCTCGTCAATTTCTTACCTTTGAAATTGAAAAATATTTAAATCTCAATTACGTATAAATTAAAAAATGTGAAAAGGACACAAACCTTGATGATGGACTGGGTAAGGCTAAATGCCTTTGATCTGATCGACGTCTGTTGTGTGAAGTTCCTGGACCACCTCCGATTGCACCAACTGAGCGTCGTGTACGTGTTTCCCATTCTTTATTAAAATCATCGGCCTCCTCTAAAAAAATAAAATTATTTCATAACAACTATTATTTCATTATTATTAATAATATTTTTCACTTGTGAAAACTTGTACGATATCTTCATGTTTTATAATAATTAAAAATGACCGACTGATAAAATCATTATTTTACATTATTAAGAATATTGTTACTGTAACTTCATAAAAATTATTCTCAATTCAATTATTTTCAAGAATTTTTAACTAAAATTCTTCTTTAAATTAATTATTCATTCATTTTTAAAAATTTTTGAAAAATTTCTTTGAAAATTTTCAAATCCTTTTGTTTAACAATTCAATTTTACGAAGTTTCATCGATTATTCGGAAATTCTTCAATCAAATATATATATATATTAGAAAATAAAAACTTCAAATAACTTAAAAAAAATTAAATCTACACAATTTTTAGTTAAAAGTATGAAAAATTCAAACATTCAAAGATTATAATTTGAAACCTTTTCAAAATTCAATAATTTCTAAAAATTCACTACTTTCTCTCTAAATTTGAATTAGTAAAAATGTTTTCTAATTGGAATTAGTGACTGACTTTTTGCTTTTGAATTATAGTAAATTTTACTATTAAATTAGTAGAAACCACTATTTATTGGTAAAATCTGATAATTGAAAAGCAAAAAGTCAGTCACTAATTCAAATTAGAAAACATTTTTACTAATTCAAATTTAGAGAGTTTAATATTCAATTATTATCTTAAATTTTAACTGAAATTCATATTTAAATCAATTTTTATTAGAAAATTCTACGAGAATTCAATTATTTAAATACAAAAATAAATAAGTTCTTGAAAAATTGAATGATTTTTAAAATTGAACTCTCATTTAAAGAATTTTATCAATAAATTTTTAAATAAGTAATTAAAATTCTTTTGACGAATTTCAATAAAGTTTTTAAGAATAATTTCATTTTTATTAAATTAATTAAAAGTAATTAAAAATAATTAAATCTCTGTAAAAAAATTTGATTAAATTGAGACAAGTTTTTGAAAATAAATGAAATTTTGAAGAAAAAGTTTATTATTTAAAAAGATAATTGAATTTTGAGGAAGAATTTTATTATTTATAAAGATAATTGAATTTTGAAGAAGAATTTCATTACGTTTGAAAATAATTGAATTCTTGAGACGAATTTTAATAATATATTTCTATTTTTAAATAATTGAATTCATTTTGTGAAATTTTATTGAAATAGTAGATATTAAAAATAATTGAATTTTGATAAATTATTGAAATTAATTAAATTTCTACGAAGAATTTTATTAAAATTATTTTAAAAACAAATTGAATTGTTAAAGAGAATTTCTTCAAAAATTTTCACAATAATAAGCATTTTAAAATAATTGAATTTCTTTGATGAATTTTAATAAAATTTTCAAGAAGAAATTCCATTAAAAATTGTATTAAAAATAATTGAAATTTGAAGGTGAATTTTATTACATATTTATGAAACAAATTTTTAAATAGGTTCATAATTAAAATTCTTTTGACGAATTTCAATAAAATTTTTAAGAATAATTTTATTTTTCGAGAAATTATATTAAAATTGTATTAAAAATCATTGAATCTCTGTAAAAAAAAAATTTGATCGAATTGAGAAAAGTTTTTTAAAATAATTGAATTTTGGAGAAAAAGTTTATTATTTTTTGAAGATAATTGAATTCTTTTGTGAAATTTTTATTTTTTTATTTAAATTGAATTCTTGAGACGAATTTTTTAATAATATGTATTTCTTTTTTAAATACCTAATTGAATTCTTTTGTGGAATTTTATTGAAATAGTAGATATTGAAAATAGTTGAATTTTGATAAATTATTGAAATTAATTTAATTTCTACGAAGAATTTTATTAAAATTATTTTTAAAAAAAATTTCATTAAATATTTTGAAATTAATTGTAGGAAGGTTTTATAAAATAATTGAATTTCTTTGATGAATTTTTTCGTAACTATTCCAGAATTCACTTAAAACTTTAATTGTTCAATTAATTAACAATTTATTTTGCTTAAATAATCATGAATTTTTTAAATTCTTGTTGTCATTAGTAGATGTATTATTTTTCTATTTCTCTACCAAATATTATTAAATTTTATCAAAAAAACAACGAAGCAATTGTGAATTTTCTAAAAAGGTACTTGTTTATAACTATAATTGAAAAATTAAAATTTTTGAACAAATTATGTATAGACATAATATTACCTTCTTCAAGATTGATGTATTCTTGATTCTCCTCCTCCTCCCCACTGCGCAAGTTCTTCTTGCGTTCGAGAATGTGTGCCCTGTCTCCAATATGATGACCAATTGACATTTCCTTTGTTCCAGTGCGAGAATCGCAAACAGTCTTTTTTGTTTCCTTCACGCCTCCAGGGGCGACTCTTGTTGATGTTGAAGCTTGATAAACTTGTGGCTTCCCATCCGGACCATTAGTCATCGTCATCACAGAAGTGCTCGCAAAGGAGTGACAATTTCCATTTCCCTTAAAAAAGAAGAAAATATTTTACAATTTAATTACTTACACCATCAGGGTTGAGACAAAAATTTTAATTTTCTTTTTCCCTCATTTCCAGACAGAATTTTCATCTTTTTCCCTGACCCTAAAGAATATTCTGATTCACTCTCAAAATTATTAGATACTAAAAAAAAATTGTCTGCTACATTTATTTACCAATTTCTTTAATTGTAAACTTATTCGAAAACATCAATAACTTCTTTTTTAAATAATTATTTAATTATTATTTTTCCGTAGGAATTAAAATTTTTCAAAACATTTAAATTCAAATCTTTTTGAAATTTAACAACTTATAAGAATATTTATTATAAAACATAATGAAAGATGACCGAGTGATGAGAAAATTATTTTATATAATTATAAGAATATTGATACAATAACTTCTTCAAAATTATTTTCATCATTTCAATTAAATTATTATTTTCTAGAATTCTTAACTAAAATTCTTCTTTAAATCAATTATTTTTAATAATTTTTCAAAAACTTCTTTAAGAATTTTCAAATCAATTTCCTTACAATTCAATTTTTCAAAATTCAATTATTTCTAAAAATTCAAAATTTTAATGCTACTAATATTCAATTATTATCCAAAATTTTAACTAAAATTCATTTTTAAATCAATTTTTATTAGAAAATACTACGAGAATTCAATTACTTAAATATAAAAATAAATAATTTATTGAATAATTTAATGTTTCTGAAAATTGAATTCTCATAAAGAATTTTATCAACAAGGTTTTAAATAAATGAATTCCTTTGGAAATATTTATTAAAAAAGTAAATACTAAAAATCATTTAAATAAAAAAAAGTTTTTTAAAATAAAAAAAAAATTTTTGGAAAATTTTTATAAAATATAGTAGATATTGAAAATCATTGAATTGAGGAAAATTTTCCAAAATAATTAAAATTTTGCCAAGAATTTTATTAAAATTTTTGAAAATAATTTAATGTTGGAGAAAAATTTTATTATTTATAAAGATAATTGAAATTTTGACGAGAATTTTTAAAAAATTTTCAACATAATTAAATTTCTGCGAAGAATTTTTATTATACTTTTGAAAATAATTGAATTTCTGCAATCATTTGTATAATTTCTCCAAAATTCATATTTTAAAGTGTTTTTTAACTAAAATTCTTCTATAAGTCCATTATTTTTAAAAATTAATTAAATATTTATTAAAAAATGTAACTAATTTCAAAAGAATTTGAATTATTAAAATTTTTCAAAAAGTCAAGTTCTTTAAAATTTCTAATTAAATTCATTCAAAATTGAAATTTTCTTAAATTTCAAATTGAAACCTTTCGAAGGTTTATGAAAATTTATGAAAATTGTAAACGTAACTTTTTTAAAATTGAATTAATTTTGAAATATTTAAGTAAAATTATTTATTAACTAATTTATAAGTAATAATTTTATGAATGTTCTTAAAAAATTAAGTTGCTTAAATTATTATTCGATCGTCTTAATAATTAAAAACTTTTGAAAACATGTAAAGAATAAATAAACATGTTTATTTACCTGAACTCGGAGCAATTGTTATAATCTTTTTTTAATCGCAATTGATTGAAATGAATGAATGAATAATTAATTTAATTAACTTACAAAGTTGGACATCATCATTGCCGGATTGGGCATTGCTGGCATTGATGGCATTGTGGGCATTGTTGGCATGAGAAAGCCAAACGAAGGGAAACCAAAGGGCATCATTTGCATGTCAGCAAAAGGTCCTCTCGATCGTTGGCGAGAACCGGCGGAGAGAGCGGGAGGTCCCATCATTCCAAAAGGATCCGGAAACATTGATCCCATGGCGAATCTTTGTAATCTATTTTTTTAAAAATAAAATCAAACATGTACCATTTTTCTCAATTCAAATTTCACTTTTCACCAAAAAGAATTATTGTAGAATTAAAATTTAATTTCTTTTTGATCAAATTTATTTTTATGGTTCATTTTACTTAATAGAAACAAAATAATGTCATTGTCATGCGAACTAGAGTGAAGTCTGATTGACAAGAGAGATTTGCGAACTTTCATCTGTTTACTACAAAACCGTGAAAATTTGTGCGCAAGATTGCACCCAAATCTTAATAATTGTTATTTAACGGAATTTTAAACTTTATAATCATTATTTACTCGAATGGTTTAAAAATTTATTTATTTTAATAAAAATAATTGAATTCCTTCAACAAATTTTATTATTTATGAAAATAATTTAATTCTTTCGAAGAATTTTATTATTTATGAAAATAATTGAATTCATCTAAAAAATTGTATTATTTATAAAAAAAATTGAATTTTTACGAAGAATTTATTAAAATTTAAAAAAAAAGAATTCTTACAAATTTTTTCCACGAATTAAATTGAAATTCAATGGAAAATAATTCAATTCGTATATATATTTTATTAAAATTTATTAAAAATACTTGAATTTTTTAGAGAAATTCTATTAAAATTGTATTAAAATTAATTGAATTCTTGCGATGAATTTTATTATTTATGAAAATAATTTTTAATTAAAAGTATGAAAAATTCAGTTTTTCAAAGATTTTAATTATTATTAATTAATTAATTATTATTATTAATTTAATTATTTCTAAAATTTGCAAATTATTAAAAACCTTCTTCAAAATTTAATTATTATCTAAAATTCTAAAACTTTAACTGAAATTAATTTTTAAATCACTTTTTATTAGAAAATTCTACGAGAATTCAATTATTTAAATACAAACATAGATAATTTATTGAATAATTGAATGTTTCTTAAAATTCAATTCTTAAAATTCTTAAAAAATTTTATTGACAAATTTTTAAATAATTTAATTCTTTTGACGAATTTTAATAAAACATTTTCAAGAATAATTATATTTTTCGAGGATTTCGGTTAAAATTGTATTAAAATAATTGAAATTCTGCAACAAGTTTTATTATTTATAAAAATAATTGAATTTTTATTTTTTTGGGAAATAATTGAATATTGTGACGAAGTTGAAGTCTACAACGTTTATCAACGAAAAAACTATATTTAATACATTAAAGTATTATTTTTAATTTAATATTTAATTGTAAAATAATTATTATCAAAATATAAACATCAATCTTTTTTTCTAAATATTTTTGTGACAATATTTTCTGCGTATTTTTAATTAATTTACTAAGTAAACAATTTTTTTTCGTTGATCAACGTTGTGGATTTCAACTTGGTTATTTGTGTAGAATATTATCAAAATTTTTGTATAATAATTGAATTCTTTTGCGGAAATTTTATTAAAATAGAATATTGAAAATCATTAAAATGAGAAAAATTTTTCTGAAAATGGGTTTTGCCATGAATTATATTAAATTTCCTGAAAATAATTGAATTTTAGCGAAGAAATTTGCTATTCATTAATAAAGATAATTGAAATGTTGACAATTTTATTTAAATTTTTTGTTAAAGTAATTAAATTTCTGCGAAGTATTTTATTAATTTCAAAAATAATTGAATTCATCAGATGAATATTGTTATTTATGAAAATAATTGAATTTTATTAAAATTGCTGAAAATAATTGAATTAAAAAAAATAATTCTCAATATTTTAATATTAACATTTAATTATAGACAACTAACTTTAGAGTAAAAGATGATTATTAAGTTTAAAATTCCGATATATGACAATTATAAATATAAAATATAATTTGGGTGAAATCATGCGCCTCTGAAAATTGAGAGAAAATAATAAAACGCAGAGCAAAGTGAGACAAAGCAATAGCTTAGCAACAAGTTATTCTATCATTATTCCTTGCTATTAACATTAGAAATTTTATAAATTTCTCATAATAAACAAGATCAATGTCAAAACGTCAGTGCCAAATAATGTCAACGCTCTAAAATGTACCATATGAATTTAGGCCTAGGCCAATTAATTAAAAGCAGTAATTATATTCATTAATATTATCATTATTTATAAGTAAATTTATAGGTTAGGGGAGAAATTGAAAAAAATATTTACGCCACAGCTGGATCATCATCAAAGTCTCCAGTTAAAGCTCCAAAAATGGACATGTTGAAAAGTTTTCAATGCACTGTAAAATCACAATTATCAGCTGTTCCTTCAGGATAGGTATAATTATTATTTTACACTACGCACGATGAATTTCACTATTCAATGAAATCAAAACTTCCTAACTATAATTTTCTCGCACTGAATTAACAAATTTAATCGTAATCGTCACGTTATTTTATGGAAAATTCTCGAAATCTGTATCACTTAACTTTCCAATTATTTTGACAAAAAATTGTGTACTAGTATGATAGTAAAGTAAATCTTTTCCAAGTCCAAGTTGCAATGCCACAAAATGGAACAAATGATTGAGAATTATCAACGAGTGACATCTAATGGTTATAGCGACAAACGTCTAATTAAAATGTCGATACTTATTGGCGGGAGAATTCAATTTATTACGTATAACCTCCAATAAAAATTGGTTGTGACGAGCGACTACTATCTCGCTCGAATCACATTTCGAGATTAATCGAATCGCGATTTTTAAGTCGCGGCTTAATTAAATTTATTAAAACAAAAGTATAAAATACATATTTCGAAATATAAACCTGAGACTGAGAACGACTAAAGAATATAGTATAATAAAGTACCTAAACACATTTTCATGTTTTAGCGGATGTTATTTTAAACATTCCAAAGAATGAGTAATTGTACTTTAAGAAACTCAAAATATTTCTAAAACATCATAAAGATAATCTGGATTAAGAAACAGATGTTTTAATAAATCTAAACTCTTCGATTTCCTTCCAAACCAATATGTTTTTCTAACACTATAGGTACAATTGAAAAATACCCAAAAAGTATACTCCTTTAAGAAGTCATAAAATTAGAACAGCTTACTTTTATAGACCAGATCCTTTGTTCAGGTAATACTACCGAAATGGTACACCTAAAAACTTTCTATCCTTTTAACTTCAAAATTGTCACGTACTGGAAAAACCCAGTTTTCATTACTTTTTAGAATTGTTAATCGCTCAACTACTTTTTATAAATAATCGTAATTTCTATATTTCATTATTTCTATCAATCTAAAATTTAATCAACTATTATAATATTACTAGTAGTGAATTAACACTTGTAAATAAATTACCTTTAAGAGTTATAGTTAAACAATGAATTTGTTATAACTATCATGATCATCAGCATTGTATAATTTATTTATATAATATTTATTATAGTTGTAACACGTATGTGAGCATCGAATACAAGAGTAAATATACTTATTATAAATGTAAATATTACTATTAGTTTATTAATTGTATATAAACTGAATAATTAAAATAACTATAATATGATAAGGATAGGAATAATAAAGCTATGACGAATGTGTGTGTATCAACACCGACAGGTGTGACGTATGAAACAGTATTAGTATTGGTGAAGTGCATAAAGTGTAAAGTGGGGGATACGCGTCACTTTGAACATGCGCATTTCCCCCAACCTGGACTAACAGCGGAGACCAACTCCAATTGACTATAACTACAAGTTAGATTTAAGTTGACTATTGACTAGAAAGGTTGCTTCTCAGTTTCCTTAGTCATTTTTGTACTATTGAACTTTTATTTAAATAAATTTATTGGGTTTACTCACAAGAAGTCTGATATCCATCAATAATTAATATTATTAATTATTGATTGATTCTTTCTTGTTGTGAGGTTTTTCCCTCCGTTTTAACGGAATATTATTGTTTTTATTATTTGTAATTCCCGGTTCCTCTTAAGGATTCAGCCAAAGTTGAACTCAACGAATCATATCAGAGCACTTGAGTTTGCGTATTAAAACCCATATGTGCTCGTAATGGGCCGTATTCTCGAAAGCATTCGACAATTCTCGCATGCGTAAAATGTCGAATGGTTAATGTCGCATGCGACTCTGAAAGTCTATTCTCAATGACCGTTCGAGATTGGGGATTTAAAATTGCAATGCGACACATAGTGACCATAAAGTGAACTAAAAAAAATGGCTGCTGTGGGTGTACAAGGTTGAAAAAAATGTTAATATTTAAAGTATTCTAATGTTTAAGAAATATTTGTTAAGATTGTTGTTCATTATTTATCTTTTTATTGAAAAACTACTTAAAATTAAAACCGAAAAGTCACAATTTAAGTTTATATTTTTTTAAATTTGTACACCCATTTCGTCCATTTTTGGTGTAAAACACTAGCGACACCGAGCCCGCGGTGGTAATTTTCATTGCCAATAGGTTGTTCGAAAATTTCCGTGTGCGACATTCATACATTGTTGCCGTCGTTTCCAAATACTTATCTGCCAATCATAATTGAGGAGGAAGAGAACTTGACATATGAGAAAAATACAAATAGTTATCCGTTCATTTAAATATTTCAAAATCAATTCAATTTTGCGTTTACAATTTTTATAAACAAATTAACTTTAAGCGGTTTCAGTTTGAAATTTTATAAAATTTTAATTTTGAATGAATTTAATTTAAACTTTTGATAATTCAAATTCTTTTGAAATTAGTTATATTTGGCAATATATATTTAATTAATTATTAAAAATAATGAATTTATAGAAGAATTTTAGTTAAAAACACTAAATACATTGAATTTTGTAGACGTACGTTACAAAATGATTACAAAAATTTAATTATTTTTAAATGTAATAAAATAATGAAAAAATAATAACAATCAAATATTTATTTAAATAGAAGTTACTGATATTATTACGAATAATTTTATAATTAAAGAAATTCGTAAATAAATGTAACAACATTTTTTTTATATTAAAGTTTTAATATTAGCATTTGTAAATTGAGAATTTTTTACAAAAATGTTAAGAAACTGGAATATGTAATATTTTTTTTTTAAAGAAAAGAATCAGTTTGTGAACAATATTGTTATTGAAAAATTAAAATTATGCATAATAAAGGGATATATCCCTTTATATTATGCATAATTTTAATTAATAAATATATATATTTCCTATTTTTGCAAAAAGAAAATTTATTTGTTAATCAAAATTTTTTGTAATTTTATAATTTTAAATTTTATTTTATTTTAAATCTTAAAAAAGAGCATACTTTCAATTTGTGAAACAATATTTTGTAAAGAAAAAAACAAAAGCATACACAAAAACTAACTTTAAAGTGTGAACAGACAGAAAAAATGAAACGAAGATTAAAAAATTAAAAAAAATAAAAAATAAAATAAATATATTGTTAACATGATTCATTCACAAAAATAACACAAACATGTGCAATTTATCCATTATAAATTTTGCATATTATAAATTATTTACATTAAACTTTTATTTCACAAGTTTACTTTTAATTCTTAAACATTACATTTAGGTTATTTTGTATAGTTTTTCTACTTTAGCATGCGGTTCATGTACACTAATACTACTTTATATTATATACGTTTATTACAAGGATGACACACAACCTTATTTTTTACTAGCATTTCGTATACGACTTTGCATCTCGAATGGCCACTACCCACTCGAGATGAACCATTCGGAAATTATCGCATACGACATGAAATCTCGCATGCGACAAGCGTTCGAGAATAGCTTTTTCCATCTCGAATGGTCTGTCGCATGCGACATCTAGGGTCATCGATTCGAGAATACGGCCCATGGGGCCGTATTCTCGAAAGCATTCGACAATTCTCGCATGCGTAAAATGTCGAATGGTTAATGTCGCATGCGACTCTGAAAGTCTATTCTCAATGACCGTTCGAGATAGGTTGTTCGAAAATTTCCGTGTGCGACATTCATACATTGTTGCCGTCGTTTCCAAATACTTATCTGCCAATCATAATTGAGGAGGAAGAGAACTTGACATATGAGAAAAATACAAATAGTTATCCGTTCATTTAAATATTTCAAAATCAATTCAATTTTGCGTTTACAATTTTTATAAACAAATTAACTTTAAGCGGTTTCAGTTTGAAATTTTATAAAATTTTAATTTTGAATGAATTTAATTTAAAATTTTGATAATTCAAATTCTTTTGAAATTAGTTATATTTGGCAATATATATTTAATTAATTATTAAAAATAATGAATTTATAGAAGAATTTTAGTTAAAAACACTAAATACATTGAATTTTGTAGACGTACGTTACAAAATGATTACAAAAATTTAATTATTTTTAAATGTAATAAAATAATGAAAAAATAATAACAATCAAATATTTATTTAAATAGAAGTTACTGATATTATTACGAATAATTTTATAATTAAAGAAATTCGTAAATAAATGTAACAACATTTTTTTTTATATTAAAGTTTTAATATTAGCATTTGTAAATTGAGAATTTTTTACAAAAATGTTAAGAAACTGGAATATGTAATATTTTTTTTTTAAAGAAAAGAATCAGTTTGTGAACAATATTGTTATTGAAAAATTAAAATTATGCATAATAAAGGGATATATCCCTTTATATTATGCATAATTTTAATTAATAAATATATATATTTCCTATTTTTGCAAAAAGAAAATTTATTTGTTAATCAAAATTTTTTGTAATTTTATAATTTTAAATTTTATTTTATTTTAAATCTTAAAAAAGACCATACTTTCAATTTGTGAAACAATATTTTGTAAAGAAAAAAACAAAAGCATACACAAAAACTAACTTTAAAGTGTGAACAGACAGAAAAAATGAAACGAAGATTAAAAAATTAAAAAAAATAAAAAATAAAATAAATATATTGTTAACATGATTCATTCACAAAAATAACACAAACATGTGCAATTTATCCATTATAAATTTTGCATATTATAAATTATTTACATTAAACTTTTATTTCACAAGTTTACTTTTAATTCTTAAACATTACATTTAGGTTATTTTGTATAGTTTTTCTACTTTAGCATGCGGTTCATGTACACTAATACTACTTTATATTATATACGTTTATTACAAGGATGACACACAACCTTATTTTTTACTAGCATTTCGTATACGACTTTGCATCTCGAATGGCCACTACCCACTCGAGATGAACCATTCGGAAATTATCGCATACGACATGAAATCTCGCATGCGACAAGCGTTCGAGAATAGCTTTTTCCATCTCGAATGGTCTGTCGCATGCGACATCTAGGGTCATCGATTCGAGAATACGGCCCATGGTCGCAGAGAAAAGTCAGGAATTTTTATAAAAAAAATACTGGGAAAAAATTAATTTTTGGAATTCACAAGAAAATTCTGAATATTTGTGTCTTTTTTGTTTTTTCCTCATAAACTAGAAAATTACCACGAATTTTAATAAGAAAAAAATCAAAAGTTTTCAATTTTAACTTTCATATAAAATTCCATTTTT